AGTTTTTTTTTTTTTTTTTTTGCATGACCTGCTTTATGCCTGTTGTTGACCACTGTTCCTTTATTCACCTTCATGATCTGTTTAAAAACTGAATCTCATTTTTTTAATAAATTTATTTGTTTTTATTTATTTTTGGCTGCATTGGGTCTTCGTTGCTGTGCGTGGGCTTTCTCTCTTTTCAGCAAGCAGGGGCTACTCTTCCTTGTGGTGTTCAGGCTTCTCATTGTGGTGGCTTCTCTCGTTGCGGAGCACGGGCTCTAGGCGCACGGGCTTCAGTAGTTGTGGCACATGAGCTCAGTAGTTGTGGCTCGCAGGCTCTAGGGCGCAGGCTCAATAGTTGTGGCACACGGGTTTAGTTGCTCCACGGCATGTGGGATCTTCCCAGACCAGGGCTGGAACCCGCATCCCTAGCATTGGCACGCAGATTCTTAACCAGTGCGCCACCAGAGAAGTCCCATGAATCTCATTCTTTTAATTTCTTTTATTTATTATTCATTGAGTCTGATTTTATAAGGCTTAGTATTGGAATTGTTTTGTTTTGCATTTCTGGGACTTTCTAATATTCCTTCTTTCAGTTTGCCCCCAATTGAGCCAACTGTCCTGCTGTCCCATCTTGCAACTACCTACAAATGGACAAAGGGACTGATTTGCTATCACCACGAACTGTCTTGTTAGTCACACGGTGTTGAGTGGCAGCCAGACCTGGCTTCCTGTGAAACTCCCACCCAAAGTCTGGCTTGCTGTGGGCACTTCCCACCTCCTCATTTTAATGTAAATAATTTAATTACATTGATGGTCCATTTAATTTCTAAACTATAGGTTATAGAACACAAAACAAAATCACAGCGTTGGAGAACACAGTTTGCAGAGACCCACGTTTACCCAGAAGCTGTAGTCAGCAAGGCTGTGCTGTGTGAGTGATTCCGGGTGTTGTTTTTATTTTTTGGTAAAATAGAACTGTTGTGCAGAATGGCCTCTTCTTAGCCATCATTCTGGTTAAATGAGGTGGCTGCTTTTCAGAAGTGCTGGGAGTGGGTTTTACTCTGGAGAGAAGTTCAGATCCACCCTCCTGGGGTCCCTGGAGAACTGTAGGCCAGCAAAGCAGAGACCTCACCCCTGCCACGTCCAGACAGGTCTGCCTGTCGCAACACTGGTTTAGCCTCCAGGACCCCCCACCTGGGAGGAGGCCAGGCCCTGCTAGACGTGCACATTGATGATGATGACAGGCCAGGTTGCGGCTGGGTATGTATGTGTCTGTCTGGCTGGCTGGCAGGAGGGATGGAGGGAGGCAGTTGTTCAAATGCCTGTACTTGCCAAGAGTGAAGTGAAAAGCTGAAGGAGGATGTAGGAGGCTTTCACCTGCCCTCCCCACGCAGGCCACTCGGCCCCACACAGGCAGATTGGACTGGGTGCTGCCAGGGAGGTGACAGATCACACTTTCGCAGGATGAATGGGTGCAGTGACTCAGGCTGCAGGGGACTTCCCGGTGCATCAGTCCGTCACCGAGGGCAATCCAGAGGCTGAAGGGCCGCGTGATTAATTGTCAGGCTGTGCTGACTCACTAGCTCTGCAGTGCTGATTCCATTTGGGGTTGGGAGAGGTGGGCAGGGGCTACTCAGCCAGAGACTGTAGCCCACACGACCAGGTCTCGGAAGTTTTATAGAAGGGCAACCACAGTTTGGATGTGTGGAGAATAAATAAGAAACTAGTAAAGAGATTACATATAGCGGTGGAAGAGATTTTTTTAAAAACCCCCATCTAATTTAATATTTATTTTCATTTTGTACCCAGATGTCACATTTTCTACATTAAGATATGATCATACTGACTCCGCCACCCCTTACAGGGACAGGGGATGGACGAAAGCTTCTCAATCTATACCTTTCTGTAGCATTTTGATTTTGAGCCTTGAAATACATTTACAAATTTTGTTCTGTTTTGGCTGCACCAAGCAGCTTGTGGTATCTTAGTTGCCCGACCAGGGATTGAACCCAGGCCCACAACAGTGAAAGCACCAAGTCCTAACCTCTGGGTCACCAGGGAAGTCCCTGCATTTACAAATTTTAGAACACATACAGAAAAGTAGATGGAAGGCATAAAAGCATTCATGTATCCCAGTGATTTTCCCACTGATATCAGTTATTTCAGCATTCACGGTGTCTATTCATTCTGAAGTTTACCTTCAACACAAGAGCATCTGACGAGAATATTTAAAGTAATAAACCATTTGTTGGAAAATGAAAACCTGTACGTATTTAACTATCTTGCTACACTTGGCAAGTGGGAAGGCCGTTGTGCCGAGGCTTTGAAGCGTGCAGAGGGACGTGCGTCTTTAACTGCCTGTGACTGTGCTTTTGGGTTTGTGAAGGACAGTGAGCTCTTGTGAGCAGTGAGCAGAATCCCTGCTCTGGGATTATTTTCTCAGGCGCTACTAGTTTTATGGCCACGTGCCGTTGTTAAAACTCTGGATGTATAAACAGTCCAACGTAGCCCTACATCTGTCTCCAGACGATTCTAATGTTCTGGTAGCAGTGGGTCAAGGTGCACTCTGGTGTCGCTGTCTCTTGTGTGAACCCGGCTTACCTCTCCGGCATCCTTTCCTCATCCCGAGGAGTGAACTCTGCGACCCGAGGACAGGAAACAGGACCCTCCCTCTGTGTGATTTTCTCCATATTCACGTCAGAACATGAGTGGCTGCGTCCACTGGCGACACTGCTCAGGACTGTCCTGCCGATTGCGCCTCATTTGATGCGTCATGCCTGGTGGTCTGTTGGTCTGTGCTCAGTTTGTGTCTTCCCGCTCCCCAGGAAACAGACCTTATAGTCTGCATTAAGGAGAATGAAGGTGGGATCTCCCCCACAGCATCCTTTGCCAGAATATTCCGAGGGGGAGCACCTGCCCTCCCCTGGTGAACTTACCCTTGCAGAAGCCAGGGTCTCTGGTCGGACTTGTCCTGGTCTCTGCCCCCTTCTGAGAGGGATCTGCTTGCAAACTGCATCTTCAGCTGCTGCCACAAGGAACTATGTGCTTGCTTCCCCTTCTGCTTTTCTTCTCTTCCTTGCCTCCCTCCCTTTCCCCCATGTTAAAAATATAATTCCATGAAATCCCTGAGACAGAAGCATCAGAGCTGTTGGGTGTGTAGTGGGGGAGGGGCTTGCTTAGGAAACACCATTTCATAGTCGTGCTCTTCCTCGCCTCCACCCTCTTTCTACCCCGGCCTTAATATGTCAAATCTGTAGCTTGATCTGGGGGAAAGCAGACACAAGAGGGGACCCTTCAAAAGCGGCTGTGTGGAGGAGTCTGGGCTGCCAGAGCCCTGCATCTCTCTGGGAGCTTTCCACTGGCCTGTGCGTGCACTGCATCTGTGGCCTGCATTTCTGGGCCTTTGTAGTTTCAAGGACTGTTTTCTCTTCCTTATAAGGAGGCACTTGGCCAAGTCAAGAGGGCAAGCAGGTGCCTGGTGGCCTGTGTCCCAGCATCCTCAGAAGTCAGAGCCCTGCAAGTCCCTGGCTCCCCGGCCGCGGACAGGGCTGGGATGGCTGATGGGGTGATTCTTCTAAACCAGTTCATAAAGGACACCTGCTGGGACCTGAGAGTGAGGATGGACAGGACCAGAGAGCATTATTGTGGTTCCCACCTGCATGGCAGCCTCGTCTAGACAGAGGTCTTTCAACATGGACAAGATAATTGCCGTTTCCGATACTGAAGACGTATTAAAGTTATAGCTTCACATACTCCCACAGGTGCCTCAGCTTCCGAATTAGCAGGATATGACTTAGTGACACGTCGTTTACTCTATGATGAGACATGTGCTATGAGCTTAGCTGTAAATGTGTGGGCCTGGATTTGACTTGTGGAATCTCTGGTTTCAAATCAAAGGACATTGGCTTCATTCTCAGATGCAGGCGCCTAAGCCTTGTCCCTGGACACGGGCAGTGCACTACAGGCACCAAATGAGTGCTCCCTCCCAGCTCCTTCTGGACGAGTCTCTGCAGAGGGCATCAAGCTGATGCCTTTTAGTCCATTTGTCAAAACCTTCATTCAAAGTGAGGCATCCCTTATGGGAGCGACTTGAAAGCCGCATGCTTTATTGGCTTCCCTGGCTCTTGGGGATTATTATCCTGCTAACCCGAGCCCCTGGTGCCCCTGCTTCCTGACCACCCCCTCCATCTCGCTCAATTACCACTTAAACAGCTGAGTCCAGTCGCCACCTTATTAGTTTATTGATGTGAGGAAGAAACACCTCATTATCAAAGCACCCTGAGAAGTGGGCCAGCGTGGGAGAGAGGGGGTCAGGGCTCCGGGCTGCAGTAAACAGCAGGTTCCGTCTGCAAAATCGCCCTGCCCCTGAGAGGGCTTCACACAGGGCGTGCCCCTGAGCCAGCGGTGCCCTGCAGAGGTAGAGATGTATTGCAGTGCATAACTTTCTCCTTTTAGTCTCAGAAACTCAGATCTTAAAATTCCGGTTCTCTCTTCTTGAATGGCCTTTTTCCCCTAGAGTGGAGCATGCTGGGAGCTGATGGAATTCAATGTCTCCCTGTCGACACGTTACCCTAAATCACAAAGCAGTTTTTCTGGGTATTGATCCAGGGCACGTCCCAGCTTGAAAGGCGCAAGGAGAGGCACGTGGGCCCCGGGCTGACGCAGGAGGGAGGATGTGAGCGGAGGCTGCAGGATGCAGACGGTCTCCAAAGGAGCCATCCAGCAGCCAGGGCGCCCCCATTCAGCAGGTACCCAGAAGGTGGTCTCGAGAACGCCTTGGAGCTGCTGCACTTCTGAGAGTGTGTAAGATGCCAGCCCTTTTCCCACAGCCAAGGAAAAATGTGTCTCCACACAGCCGTCGGAATTATTTTTTCAGATGAAAATTGGACTTGAGAGGAGAAAATGATTAAGGCATAAAATATTCATTGCACATTCGTTTGTTCACACATCCCAAGAAGAAAAAGAAGTCCCTTCCCGGAATTGCACTCACTGTTTCTCCTGTGTCTCTCTCTCCCCAGTCGTGCCAAGCTGACCTGGTGAAGGACAACGGCCACAAGTACTTCCTCTCGGTCTTGGCAGATCCGTACATGCCAGTAAGGACCAGCTCTGGTGACACGTCTCCCGGGGACTCTGGGGAAGGTTGCTCCACGCAGAGGGGCCGGCAGGGTGGCGGGAGGGGGTCCACTTTCACCCCGGCTCTGCCTCACTCAGACGGTGCCCTTTGCTTCCCGTCATATTATTTCAGTAGCTGCTTCCCTGAGTAAAGAGTTACAGTGAAACTTGACACACAGGCTGTATTTTTGTTTACAGCGAGTCCATTTTCTGAGCACATCTTTGTAGTGAAGTAGAATCCACTCTGCCTCACACCCTGTCAGCCAAGTTAGATCAATGAGCACTTGTACATCCATAATATGGCAGTTCCTTTGCCCAGTGCAGGTTCTGGACATGACAGGAGGCTGTTGCACCTTCTCAATCAGGAAAGAAAGCCGGGGAGGGGGGCGGGAAGGTGGAAAGAAGAGATTGAAAGTTTACATTTTAAATATATTTTATTGTATTAAGTTGTTTAAAAATTAGTAATCCATAAATAGCATATAGAATAACTTCCTATAAGTGTTTTTTTAATTAATTTCTATGTTCCCTACCTCTAGCTCCTAGCATAGTAAAAAGAACAAAGTAGACACCCTAAATAATTACTTAATATAACTTATTTTTATCAGAATGTTTAATTAAGTCTAACAGCTTGTTTACACAGTCTTAGATGGCTTTGGTTGTATAAAGGAACTTTTGTGTGTAAATTCACCCTCTAGTTGGTTTTCTGAACTAAATGGCAATAATAAAAAAACAAACACATTTTTCAAAATACAGAAAACGTCAAAAACAGGATTGTTATGAAAGGTAAGTAGAACTTGTGTGTTTTAACTGAAGTGTGGTTTTTAAACATTATCATAGGCAGTTAAAGTTTAGACTTTATACAAATGTTGGAAATAATTACTTCCCTGTTCTTCAGGGTAAACAAATCAAACAAATAAGACATCTAAGCTGATAAAATGCAGTAAAGTGGTGAGCGAAGCCAGCACAAGTGGGCCCCACTTCAACTACAAACACATTGAAGATTTGAGGACATAGATGTGAAAGAAAGGAAAGGAAATCCCCAAATGCCAAAAACCGATGTCAGAGGAGGGGCACGGTGGGACTCACAGGCAGACCTCACAGTGACCCTGGCGCTCCACACGCGTGCAGCCCCGAGTCTGCATGGAGAACACGGGCCTGTGGGGCGAGCCGCCCACTCACCAGACAAGGACAAGAAGAGCTGGTCCTGTCTGTCCACGTCTGGGCGGAAAGTCAGGAAAGGCCCCCGTGAGAAACAGAAACCCCCCCTTGCGGGGGGAGCCACCAGCTAAGAGAGGAACATGAAATCTCCAGGGCCTGCCTGGAAGCGGCAAAGGCTGAACCTTTCTGCAGGGACACCTACGAAGCCAGGGTACTGAGACTAATGACAGGACCGCTGGCCTGCTCCTAACCCATGTTCAAGGGACATAAGCAGAGCTGGCATGTAAGAGGGTTGGCTCCCCAAGAATTGAAACTAATAGGATTCTCTGAAAAAGACTGACAATCAATACAAATAAGTATGTTTAAAATTACTGAATAAACAATTTGTTTTAATTACATCCAAAAATAAACTCTTATGTTTCCTCATAAGTACTTTTGTGACTATTATAAAAGAACAATGTATTCTGTCCTTTTTACTCCTCCTCAAAAAATGACCAACTAGAGTCATTTAATAAATAGGCAGATTTGGGGGGGAAAAAAGAACCTGTAATGAAAGACAGTCACTGTCATTAGAAGCTCCGTAGACAAATTAAACAGCAGAATCGACACAACGGGTAAAGGAATCCGTAGAGAAATCACGTGAGATGAAGCAAAGCGGAGATGTGACGGAGGGGCTGAAAGGGCTCGCTGCATCCAACACAGGCCAGAGGGAGATGGTGGGGGCAGGTGAGGCGGTGGGGGGGGGACACATGATCCAACTGGTCTAGCGGAGAATTTTCCAGATTTGAGGAAGAAATGAGTTTTCAGGTTTATAAAGCACAATTAGTCTTGAGAAGGTTAAATAAAAACAAATCCCCACAAAGACTTATCGTAATGAAAGTAGAGAATGTCAAAGGCAAGAGGAAAAATCTTGAAAGTAACCAGGACAAAAAGGAAGACTGTTGCAAAGATCTGGACAGCAGTCACCAGAGTAACGGGTGGAAGACTGAGGAGAGGCCCTCACAGCACAGGGGGAACCGTCACCCCGGGACCCTGTGCCTGCCCCGGTGTCAGTCAGGGAGAGGGCGAAGCCAGCACATCTCAGGACCGATGGCTTCCCATGCGCTGACCCCACCCAGGCAGCCAGGAGGACCGCACTTCAGGAGGAGATGGAGCCCAGGGGACAGTAGGATGCAGGAAGCATCGGAAAGCAGACATCTGCAAACTTGTCATGTATCTAAATCAGCATCGGCTGTAAGAATAAGTAAAAACAGTCACTCACGTGAGGGGCTGACACGTGAGGAGGAGTATTGGGAATCCAAGGGAGACACAGGAAATGACTAACTTTATTCATTCTCTAAAGAATGACTAGGTACCACTAATAGTTAACATAACACTGATCTCTGAGTCAGTAGAGGCACAGAGGAGAGGAGAAAATGAGAATCGATCCGTCCACTAGAAGACCACGAGGAAGGGATAATGAAGCCAAGTTAGGGACTGTGGTCGGTCGTTTTACGACCAGGGTGATTTGCTTCCATAGACTTGGGCAGGACAGGGCGGCCTCTGATGGAGCAGAATCAGAGAGGCCCATGCCCCTCCTGCAGCATCAGACGTCAGGGACCCATCTGTCCTCTGAGAGGCCAACCCCAAACTGTCAGACCCTCTTAAAAGTGCTCTTCCTTTTTGTGGACTCAAAAGACAATAAAGCTGGCTCCCATTACTTTAATTACACACCAAGCATAATCATAAAGATTCTGGAAGGATAACTCTAGTGCTTGGGAGTGATGAGTTTCCACCATGAAAAAAGTGCAAACTAGCAGGTGACTTCTGTTTTCCAGGCTGAGCACAGGACCATGACAGCCTTCATTCTGGCTGTGATCGTTAACAGCTATAACACGGGGCAGGTGAGTGTCACGTCACGTCCCCACCCCTGCAGGGCCTCCCTGTGGGTTGCAGAGGCACAGCCCCGAGCTCCAGTATTTGGGGGCCAGCGGAACTGTTCTGAATGTCTGATGAAACAGTGACCTCAGAAGAGGGGGTGTTGCAGGATCACACCAACCCAAGGGACTCCATGGGAGGAGTGGGGTCCGGACCCTTTGTTTAGCCAGGGTGAATTGATATTGGTGGGATTTAAAATGAGGAAAATTGAGGGACTTCCCCAGCGGTCCAGTGGTTAAAAATCTGTGCTTCCACTGCAGGAAGCGCGGGTTCGATCCCTGGTCTGGGAACTAAGATCCCACATGCCGTGCAGCACAGCCAGAAAAAAAAAAAAAAAAAAATGAGGAAAATTGAGGACATCTTGCGATGTGATTAAGCAACATTTCCCTGAGAAACGCTGGGAGCTGGGGTCCAGCCCGGCACCCCTCCCTCCTCAGTGGTCAGGGTGATGCCGTGTGTTGCCTGCCTTCTTGCAGGAAGCCTGCCTCCAGGGAAACCTGATCGCCATCTGCCTGGAGCAGCTCAACGATCCCCACCCCCTGCTGCGCCAGTGGGTGGCCATCTGCCTCGGCCGGATCTGGCAGAACTTTGACTCGGCCCGGTGGTGCGGGGTGAGGGACAGCGCTCACGAGAAGCTCTGCAGCCTTCTCTCCGACCCCATCCCTGAGGTGAGTCCACACCCACGGCCACTTCAGACTAACTGAGGTCAAGGTATGCCTGGAGACCACACAGCCAGAGAGGCCCAGCCCCGGCCCCAGACCCCTGCGTCCCCCTCTGTGGGTTCCCCGGTGCCTGGTGTGGTCTCTGATGCCTGCACAGCCTGTCACCTGGCCCCCAGGCGGGGCCGCCACTTACCTCTTGTTTCCCTGCTCCTGCTTGGGAGCGAGTGGAGCTGGGCCAAGAGGACCGTGGACGAGACCGGGCTGCGTCGGGTCGGCTCCAGGGGCCCCGGCTAGAGCCAAACAGCCAGCCGCTGGGTGACTGCCCCCTGTCCCACCTGCAGGTGCGCTGCGCAGCAGTCTTTGCCCTCGGCACATTTGTGGGCAACTCCGCAGAGAGGACGGACCACTCCACCACCATCGACCACAATGTGGCCATGATGCTGGCCCAGCTCATCAACGACGGCAGCCCCGTGGTCCGGAAGGTGCGTGGCCCCCGCCCCCAGGCAGCACCGAGCGCCTCCAGGCCGGGCTTCCCCGGCGCCCAGGTTGAGCCATGACCCTGACCCGACCACAGCAGCAAGCACTCAGTCCCCGCCACACCGGTGTGCATGCTGCTGAGAGCAGGCTTTAAATGTTTGTTTAATTCTCTCCAAGATAGTTTCTTCACCAGATACTTGTGTGTTTGCTTCATTTAAAGGCATTTAACAGGCTGCGTCTTCTGGCAGCTTGTATAATAGGCTCCTTCTTGCCTGGGAGCAACACTTAAACACATCAGGAGATTCAAAAGAGCAGTAGCCACCCACAGACAGGTGGCAAGGTTTGTTTAGTGTATTCCCCTCCCTGCCCCCATGTTTGTCAGCGAATGAATGGAGCAGTTCTTTGCAGTTGAAACTTTTACTTGTCTGTTTCGATGTAGAAGTACCACAATTTCCGTCCAAGATCTCACACCCCTGTCAAAAGTTGGCCCAGAACGGTCAACCCTCCCCCTCCCCCAGCCAAAAAGGGCCATGGGGGGGAACCCCAATGTCTGCTGGCCGCATTTTGGGGTGGCCTTGGAGCCCTGCCCTGGGAGCAGAGACTGTTTTAGGACCAGGAGGGCAGCGTCGTTCTGTGTGTGACCTTGAGTCACCTCTCATCACCTAGAGGTGCCGGGCTGCTTCTCGGCATGTCTGAGATCCCTGTGCCAGGGAAGGGAGGTTGGGTTTGTCAGAGGTGGGTGTGGTTTTGAAGGGTATTTGTTTGGAGAGCAGACCCCACTGACTTGGTGGCAGGGACGTTGTCAGAGCAAGTTCACATTAGCCAGGAAGGACTCATTGCATCTTGAGTTCCCTCAGAGGGCCGTGAACCCAGTTGCTAACATGCCAGGTTATCTAGAGAAATGTTAACAATGTGGAATGATCCTGGAGGTGCCTTTTCACAGCCCTTACTTTTTTATTTTGGGTTCTCATCATTAGCATCTGTCTGAATCTGGCTTCCTTGAGTCAGTCTTCTTTTTCCCGAGTCAAATTGCCTGTATGTGGACGTCAGTGACCAAAGCAGCCCATCCTGAATTGTCTGTTAAGATTCCTTTTAAAGAAAGGAAAGCTGTGTTTCAGTTCTTTCCCAAAAAAACTTAAAAAGAATGTTAATAAAAATAGAAAGAATGTCCATCTGAGTCTCCAGTATCAGAATGGTCGCTAGGTCATCAGGAACACGGGGACTTCCGCCCTCTCGAGCATGTCCCAGGTGCCCTGACGTTCCCAGCCCCAATCCACTGGCTGTCCCTTCCGCAGACACTGGGATGCTCGGGTGTAGCCAGGTCATTCCTGTGGGCACTTGATGTTGGCCTTGCCTGAGGTCAGCACGTCCACAGACAGGGGTGCTGAGAAGGGGCCTGCTTCGCTCACCCAGCACTCGGGCTCAGCTCACAGCTGCCTCTGCACACCAGGCTCGGCGTGTGGAGCAGCAGGCATCCTGCCTTTGAGAGGTACAGGGTCCAGGTGGAGAGGTAGGCACAGAACCAGGAATTGTACTGAAGCCCTTGTAAATGAGCAGCACCCCAAAGGCCAGCCCAGGTCAGGGGCTCTGGCCCCATAGGGGGAGGAGGGGAGCTCGTGCCTGGGTTGTGAGGGATGAGTAAGGGACGGGGAGAGCAAGTGAGGCAGGAGCATGTGCAGAGGTCCAGGAGCACAAAAGACCATGGTGCGCCTGGGGCTGCCCATCCTGTGTGCGCTGGAGCGTGGAGCTGGCGGGAGGGCAGTGGGGGAGAGGCTGGGAGCAGGCAGGAGCGCGCCTTCTGTAACCGTGTTCTTCTCTCAACACATCTGAGCGTCTGCCACGTCCCAGGTCCTGTGTCAGGCCTCGGGACCATCACTGCCTCCAGGGCTTTTACTCTCTAATGGGGAGACGGACAGCAATGCAGGTCTGTTAAGTAAGTCAAGGGGGCTATGTTTGCCATGGAAACATGGGCAACACGGAGGTTCAGGGAGACTGAGGCCCTTGGGTTGGAGAGAGGATCCAGGCTTTAATAGGGTGAGTGACACCAGCTCAGAGGCTGAGCCTTCCTTCTCTTCACGGAATCCTAATGCTGTTGGCAGCTTGCTTTTCCCGTCTTTGTCCAGAGCACGTGGTGACAGTTGTGGCATATGGTGCTCTGAGGAACACAGGCCCAGCCTGCTGGCGCAGGAGACCCAGCGTTAGGGCACCTGAGGGTATGAAACAGGACTCGGCCCTGGGCACTGCACTCCACGAGCTGACCTTAGCTAAGGCTTAAGAAGTCCCAGCTGTAACCAACTGCTGGTGTCTCCAGCTCGTGGCAAAATGAGAAGAGTCAGGGTATTGTGGCGGGGTTTCGTAAAGTCACATGTATTCAATATAAAAAAGATTGCCTTGGGCTTCCCTGGTTGCACAGTGGTTGAGAGTCCGCCTGCCGATGCAGGGGACACAGGTTCGTGCCCCGGTCTGGGAAGATCCCACATGCCGCGGAGCGGCTGGGCCCGTGAGCCATGGACGCTGAGCCTGCGCGTCCAGAACCTGTGCTCCAGAACGGGAGAGGCCACAACAGTGAGAGGCCCGCGTACCGCAAAAAAAAAAAAAAAAAAGATTGCCTCTGTTGACTCCTGAACGATGAAAGCATCCTTTCCTGGGGGAGGCGATAATGACAGAGATGGAAGGGTTTTGCTTGCTGACCTGTTTAAGGAGTTTACTTGATAAAATCAAGAGTCAGTAAATTCATGTCAACCTCCCAAATTATTTTGAACTTGAGCTTGTCCAGGAAGTACACGATCCAGACTGTCCATCCAGTCAGCAAGCTGCCCACACCTCATCAAGAAGGGCCAGGCCAGGGGAGCAGGTTTGTGACCCCCCCCCCGCCCTGTTGTCACCCCACCGTTCTCAAGGGCTGACCAGTCCAGCCCCGCGACCCTTGTCTGCAGCTTACTTGGTGCCATCTACCTTAGCAAGGAAAGCGGGACACATTTGAATCCTTTATCTCTAGTTTACATTTATTTATTTAGTAACCGCAGACACGGAGGAGCAGTACCCGGCATCCTCCTCCCCTAACACACATCTGACTCCAGCCGAAACTGATGAACGGCGTCAGAGGGTGTTTCCCCATTGATGCCCAGGACGTCTCAGGTGGAGGCGACGGGGCAGGATGAGCTGCCAGGGCTGGGGTGCCTTCTCCCGCAGGCGAGCCCAGAGGGCGTCCAGGCGGAGCAGATGTGCTCCCTTCCCCAGAACGCTGCTCTGTCGTCCTGGGAGCTGAGTTTGATGCTCCATGGCCATGGGCCAAAAACAAATGTTAGCCAGTAATTCATTGTTGAAAACGTGGAGTGGGGATGGCCCTGGGGAAAGACCTGGGAACGCATGTGGTCCAGCCTTCCAGGCGACCACAGAGGAGCATTAGCCGACTCGCCTCGGGCCATGTGTGTGCCCAGGCGTAATGTCCCTGAATCCTGACGACAACTCACCTAAAAAATCAAACCATTTGTTAAAAATTATACTGTATCTGAAGGGAAGAGTCTTCATTCATTCAGCAGATACTTACTAAGCGCTGCCCGTGTGCCAGGCCCTAGGTCACCAGGCCTCCAGAACTTGTACTTGGAGATGGGGCAGACCAGGGTGTGATGTGGCAGGTGGTGAACTGCTCCGAAGGAAGGTCGGGAGTGAAGGTAGAGAGTCGGGAGCCCGGGGCGAGGCATCATCGGCCTTTCCAGGCCGAGGGGGCAGCAGGTGCCAAAGCCCGGAGCGGGAGGCCTGCTTGGTCCGAGTGTGAGCAGGCGGCTGGAGTGTGGAGGTGGCAGGACCACTCTGCCGGGAAAGGGAGTGAGGCTGCTGGCTGGAGGGGCTCGAGTCGCTGTGCTGATCTGCTTCCAAGGTCTGAGAATAACTCGAGCCTCTTGCCCGGCCTGCGCCCCAGCCAGACATGCCTGCAGACCTCCGAGGGCTGGAGCCCATGGCTGCTGCCCAGCAGGAGGGGCTTGACCCACGGCTGCTTGATGTGGGCCTTGCACTCAGCCTCCTGTCCTCACAGCTGTCCCTGGATCAAACGGTCTGAGACCTGGGAATCTGCTTCAGGTCCAGCTGAGCCCTTTCACCAGTTCAGAGTGAAGGGAAAACCTGTGCTTTTTGAAGACGGCTCAGGCTTCATCTTCACTGGGAGGGGCCGGCGGGCAGCCCCTCGACAGCCTGTTACTCAGCGCCTGTTAGACTAGAGGACCCACTGGGTGGGCATCCGGATCGCCAGAGAGAGAGAGATGGGTCAGGATGATTCAAGGGTCTAACTGAAGCCACCAGAGATTTCTGCTCCTGGCACAAGCCGAGGGTCCCCAGCAAGGGCTGAACAGAAAGGGGTGGGCAGCCGGTCCTGGGCAGGTCGAGTTGGGCTTTGGAGAGCACTTGGTGGACACACATGGTCAGTGGTTGGAAGGGCCAGCCTGGAACTCAGAGATGGGACCTGAAAAGGTAGGTTTGGGAGTAAAACCCACACATGTGCTGGGGAGGCCAAGGAGTGCGTAAGGCTGAGGTGGGAGAGACCCTCTCAGGAGAGAAGGGGGCGGCCAAAGAGAGGACCTGGGGGCCCCATCCGAGCCCAGCTTATCAGCACCTCGGCACAGCTCTCCTGGCCCTGGGGGTCTGGGGGATTCACGGAACAAGAAGGGGCTCTCAGACCTTGGTCTTCTTCTAAGTATTTTTCTAAAAAGTAAAGTTGTGGAAACCATTTGAATAATGATGGGAAAAGTAGTGCAAACCGACATCCAGTTTTATTTCCCGTGACTTTTAGGATCTCCAGGTACTCAGGTCATAGAACCAACTGCCCCAAAAGAGGTAAATTGTATTCTTCTCCTTGGACTGAGGCAACTGGCCTGAAGTCATGTAGAACTTTCCTGTTACCCTTTTGGGGGCTGGAAAGTAATTTATCTTCGAAAATTTCACATTTAGTGGAAGAGCGTGCTACACTGTCCGGGGTATCCTGCCTTAATGCCCAGGGTTCAGGTAGCTCTCCACGGTGTTGACCGTGGGAAGCCGTGAGGGCTCTTCCCCATCCCGCTCTGGGGTGTCCTCAGCCTGCATCCCTACAAGGCCCCCCCTCACACCTAGTGGTCAGCAATCTCTCTGCCGGGTGTCCGGGGCATCCCTCGGAGGCCCTGATCTTGACCACATGGCTTGTTCAGAGGTTTCTGCTCACGCCGGGGGCTCAAGAGTGCTGCGTTGAGGGCACAGCCCCTGTCTTGGCACCGAGTGCTGTCCCACCACCCCCCACAGTGGCTCAAGCACTCAGCGCCAGCATGTACATCTCACTGCTACTCTGAGTTGCCTCCCAGCCCCAAGTCAGTGTCGCTGTCCTTTCTCCTCCCGGCAGGAACTGGTGGTGGCTCTGAGTCACCTTGTCGTTCAATACGAAAGCAATTTCTGCACCGTGGCCCTGCAGTTCATGGAAGAGGAGAAGAACTACCCACTGCCCTCTCCAGCCACCACAGGTACAGCCACCAGGGGAACGGCACTGAGGTGGAGCCCATGCGGCTCGCTGGCCCAGGGGACCCTGGTCAGGACTGTCAGCAGGCCCCTCGTTCTGCTAGGTCCTGAGCCCATGTGTCAAGTCAGGGCCACTCAGATATCTGCAATTCCCATCTTCCCAGAATAGAAAGGACAGGAAAGGGGGCCACACTGACCCTCTGACTGTTTTCTTTCCTTTTTACCCTTTCTGGAAATCAAAGTCATGGAAATCTTGGAGGGTAGAAAATGCTGCCATAGGGGCTATAGGAAGGCACGTTCTCTTTCTTCCCGATGAGTCCTCACGTCACTGTCACGTCAGGCAGCTGCTCGTCTCACATTTGTCCTTTTACCAAATTTATATTTCATCATCTTGAGCTGCCCCCTCCCTCAGACAGCTGTGTCTTCAGGAAAGAGGGCTTGTGATCAGCCATGAGACCACTGCTGCGTTTAGTACATCGGGGAAGGGAAACGGCTGGCGGACCTGGGCAGGGTGGGATTGGTGAGTGGGAAGGCGGGGGGCTGAGCCAGGAGGTGGCCATCCTGGTGCTACCCTGGGCAGCGGCCGCAGGCAAGTCCCAGAGCACCTGGTATGGTTCTTGGAGAACCATGTGGGCCTCTGTAGTTGAACTCTCACAAAACGCCAAGCGTGGGTCATGGTCATCTGCTCCCATGCTCCCCTCACCCCAGTCAGGACCTTGTCCAGCTTTGTACCCCAACATACATGTGTCAGAGACCCTGCTGAGCAGAAGGGCCCTGTTGTAGCGTCACATCATCCAGGTAAAAGCCACTGTCACCTGCCGTCTGGCTGCCTCCCACCTGAGCCCACCATTAACTCTTCTCTCTCCTTCTCTCCTACCAGAGGGTGGGAGTCTGACCCCCGTGCGGGACAGCCCCTGCACCCCCAGACTGCGCTCCGTGAGCTCCTACGGAAACATCCGCGCCGTCACCACGGCTAGAAGCTTGAACAAATCTTTGCAAAATCTGAGTCTGACAGAAGAATGTAAGACCCCAGAGGCTGGGTGCTCGAGTCGGGTGGTTGTGGGTCATCTTCTGGGACCTTTTATTAGATGTGCCCCTGCCCCCTCCTGCCATCTGCTCACCTGGGCGTGAGCAGAAGTCGTGGGTCAACCCCCCAGGGTGGCCAGTGATGATCCTGCAGCACCGCTGGGCACAGCCGCTCCTGAGCCCCACAGCAACCCCCTACCCCGTGCCCAGCAGCCCAGCCCCAGGGGAGACGGGGGTGGGTGTGCTAACTGACGCTTTGCCCGTGGCGGTGCCCCACCAGCCAGCGGCTCGGTGGCCTTCTCCCCCGGGAACCTGAGCACCAGCAGCAGCGCCAGCAGCACCCTGGGCAGCCCCGAGAACGAGGAGTACATCCTGTCCTTTGAGACCATCGACAAGATGCGCCGAGTCAGCTCCTACTCCTCCCTCAACTCCCTCATCGGTGAGTCCCACTCCTCCACGTCTCCACCTGTCCCCTCAGCATCCATGGGTTCCCGCCCAAGTGGATGGTGCTTGGACACGCTTAGTGGGAGAGTAAAGTGAACGGGGTAGGAGGAGGTGAGGAGCGTCTTGCTGTGGCAGCAGGAACCCCCCGCCCTTGGTTGCTGGTCTGATCCAGGCCATCTGGGCGAGCCGGCCTTGTCGCTTGGAAAGGCTGCAGAAGTCCCAGTGCTGCAGAGCAGGGGTGTTCTGCCCCCAGGAGACATTTGGTGTGTCACGGCCAGGGCACAAGGGGGCTCCCAGCATCCAGTAGGCAGAGCGGCCTCCAATGGTGCCCAGGGTCCCCCAGAGAATGCATGTACGAGGTCCAAGGTCAGAGCCCTGCTCCAGGGGCGCAGACGGCCCTTCCCAAGTTCCCTGGCCGGAACCCCCCATCACCCCCATCCAGGGCCCCCTCTGTGCTTTCACCTTCAGCCAGTCCAGCAGTTTCACACTTGGCTGCCTGAAAATTGAAATTTGAGTTAAGGGTCAGCGTCATCTCGTGTTCTGCCTTGAGTGGTGAGCCCCTGGTTCTGCTGCTGGGCTCGCTGAGCGGTGGGAATTCACCGCATGTCCTCGCTGCATGACCAACCATATCGACCCTTGTGTCACCGGTAACACACATAGGACTCAACCAGACAGCCCCTCTGCGCTTGTTCTTGGCACCCCCGTGCTTTACCAGGCCTCATCTGAAGGTTTACATAATACTAGGAAATGCTGTAGATGCATAAAAACGTAGACTAATGTGACACACCTCCCCGTGTGTGTTTTGTTCCCAACTTAAGGAATTACAGATAGAGTTAAAGCGCCCAGAGCCCCTCCTGGTTCCCTGCTCAGGATCCCTGCACACTTACTCTCTGGCTGTGGATCCCCATGGACTCGCACCCTTTCCCAGGGTTTAAATGTCATGTAAATGGCGCCACACATCCTGTGTCCTCAGTCTGCCCAGAGGGCTGTGTGTCCACACTGGTCACCTGAGTCTTGTTCACACCCTTTCATGATCTGCTGCAATTCACTTGTCCATTCTCCTGTTAACGGACAGTACCCTTGCTCTGATTTTTCCTTCTTTTCTCATTTTCTTTTTTCTTTTTTTTTTTTTTTTTTTGCGGTACGCGGGCCTCTCTCTGTTGTGGCCTCTCCCGTCGTCGCGGAGCACAGGCTCCAGACGCGCAGGCTCAGCGGCCATGGCTCACGGGCCCAGCCGCTCCGCGGCATGTGGGATATTCCCGGACCGGGGCACGAACCCGCGTCCCCTGCATCGGCAGGCGGACTCTCAACCACTGCGCCACCAGGGAAGCCCTTTTCTCATTTTTTAAAAAGCAAATTCAGGATTTGGCCCCAGCTCCACCTCCTGCCCTCCCCCTTGTACCTGGCAGTGCTGGGCTCCTGGGTTCCTTGGCTCCTCCCCTTGGCTTCAGGGCTCCGCCTCCAGACACCCCACAGGCTTCTCCTCAGTCCAATCACAGTCCTGCTCCAGAGTCACCTTAAAAGAAGTCTTCCAGGCTCCTCCCACCCCAATCCAGAATAGCCTTCTGCAGTCACTCTGAGTCTTTCCCTCTCTGTTTGCTTTTGTCCTGAGAACTTTTCCCCAGCAGACTTATGATGCAGGATCTCATTTATTCAGCTCGGTTTTATCTCTGCTCAGGGGGTCAGAGCCACGAGTGCAGGAACTTTGTCCTGTCTCCTGCCACAGACCCCCACACCCCGTGCCTGGTACACAGCAGGCACCCCCATAATGTGCACGGGTGTGGGCCGCAGCAGACACACTGCAGCCTGACACACGTGGGGTCTGACAGCTCCACGTGGAGGGAGATTGACCACAAAGGGCTCTGTTCCAAGGAGGACAAGCTCCCGTGGCCCTGCTCGCTCCTGTTCTGGTCAGGCTACCCCGTCTGATGTGAGCGAACCGACTCCTCGTGGTCTTAATTTGTATGTCCCTCGATTATGATGAGGTTGAGCTCACGTGTTCATTGGACTCCTGTGTTCCCACTCCTGCAATCATTTACAGTATTAGTTACCCTCCTATTTCGTTGGTACTATTTTTCATTAACATTCAGTTCTTGGTTGTTTGCTTGTTTCCATGATAATCCCTCTACCTTAGAGCTCACACTCTCTTGGCATCACGTGACAGTGTTAGATATTTCTGACTTGCCGTTTTTGTGATCTCAAGGGGGAGGGCAGTCTAAACGTGCTTGCCAGCTGTACCCATGAGCCTCAAGACTGGTCCTCTGCTGGCCCTAGAAAGGACTCAGGACTCTCATTCCACAAGACGAGTCTGTCTGGGGCCCATAAAGGTCTGAATGGACTGTAGGGTCCAGAGCTGGTCGCCATGCCCCACCCCCAGCAGTACGACCCAGAAAGGGGGATCTTTTTGTCCTTGGCCCTGGGTTGGGGATGTAAGCGGTGAAGAATAGGTGTTTCTTTGACGCCACATGAGATTGGAGGGTACGGCCCGCACCTCCCACCCCTGCCGCCTTCCATGTCCTCCAGGGACTTGAGAGCCACGTCACTGATTCCTTCCTTCACACAAAACCTGACTCCTGAACATTTTTTTACTGGAGAAAACTGAATTTTATCTGTATATGGTTCATATCTTCCCACTTCAGTGGGAAAGTTTCACAATGAGCCGGAGCTGGAAGGAGCGTTAAGGAGACAAAGTAGCTGTGCACCTGAGTGCGCGCGTCCACCTGGAAACCGTGGTGCTTACATAAGTGTTTAAAATTCATAACCTACACCGAATCCCATTACTTGCAGCATTCGCCTGTTTAAAGTCAATTTTTTCTTTCATTTCAACTAAAGAACAGCAGTCTCTAGCCTCTTTGACTGAATATTGCAAAAGAGGTTTTCAAAACCATGGCAACCTAGGACATCCATTCATTGCCACCTTCTCCCAGAAGACTAGCCCCTCCCAGGCTCCCCCTCCATCCCCACTGTCTCTAAAGCACTCGAGGTCTCGCCTGCTGAGCGAGGTGCTGTCCCCCCACAGGAGCAAAGCCTGATAACGCATTTCTCCATGTGCCTAAGCATATCTGCCCAATGTCTGTGAATCTGCACTGGGACCCAGCTCTGTCACCACCTTCTGGAATCTTCTTTGATGTCTCCCTCCGCATGTTTCTCACCCACTCAGCTATTTGACCTGACCTCCATGTGTGTCCCCAGTCAGTTCTTTCCATTTCCGGGCCCCCCACCCCAGGACTTGGCCTTGGCTCTCACACCCCACCACCTGTCCAGAGCAGATCCCCCCAACATCAGCTCTGCACGGACCACTGTCTGGCTGATGCCTTTGCAGAAACTCGTTTCCTGTAAAGTCCAAGCTGTGGCCGACACTCAAGACCTTCCTTCTGAGAGCAGCCTGGCCTTCACCATAGCTCCGCCCACTGTGCCCACCACCCCAGGCTGGCAACTGGCCCCCGAATGAGGCCTGGACACCTCTGCCTTTATCCCACATTCCCGCACCCGCCTTTCCACACAGCAGTGCTCGCCCATTCCTCTCCACGCTGGCATTCTGCGGCGTCTCAGGAGGCCCTCCCTGACCCATCAGACGCCTTCGTGTTGCACACTAAACCTGCGGCGTCACATCGGGCCGTGAAGTTGCCATCTTGATCAACAGGTTTGGTAAAGCTGCTATTTCTTGCTCTTGTGTGTAGCAGGCAGCCTCTCCTCCCTCCATCACCTGCCCTTCTGTCCCTCACCTGTCCACCCGTCACCATCCTGCCCCTCATTCCCTCCCTCCCTCCCTCTCTGAGCCTCACCCCATTCCTGATGTCCAGAGGTCGGAGTGCAAAGAGTGGGGAAGGGGGGGCCCTGGTGCTTTTGTCTTACCTTGTCCCCCAGGTGAGACACAGGGGAGCCCCTTGAAACGGTTGTACAAACACACCTCCCAGTCCAGCCAGGGCTCTGTCCAGTAGGCGAGGGAGGACGTGATTAGGACCCTCCCAGAGGGGCTCAGAGTCAGGGTCACCAAGAGGGGAACTGCAGAAGCCCCAGGCCCTGGGAGCTGATTCCCAGGGAGGCGCCCGGGCCGCATCATGCGATAGAGCGTCAGGGTTGGTGACCCCTGAGACCCAGGCAACAGGTCACAAGTGACAGCTCCTGCCTCCAGGGGCCTCCACCTTCCTTCTCCAAGCTGCCTTGCCAGCCCCCGGGGACTCTGGGGCCCAGAGTTGGCCACAAAGCTCTGAGCAAATTTTCCTGAGTCCAATGCTATTTAGAAAGTTGTGGCCATTGCTCTGAAAAATAAATCCTAAAACCATTAGTTATGATCTTTTATTACTTTTAGTCTAGACATGAAAATAGGCTCTCAGCGCTTATGGGGACTTTGGCAAGTGCCAGACACGGCACCCTGTCTGAGCTGGCTCAGCCCAGCGGTACCCCCCATCCCCACGGGGGCTACACCCGCGTTCTCGTCGTTCCAGAGGCCCGAGCTCTGTGCTGCACAGACTCAGAACGTTCCGATTTGGAGACAGCAGATGTAAAACCAGGACAGTTCACAGAACAGAGAGGCGGGGGGGGGGGGGGTGGCCAGCCCCAGGAGAGCAGTGACGTGGAGACAGCAATTCCAGGTCCCTGTTCTGTGTTTTCACAAGTAAATCGTATACCATTTACTGTGGTCAAGGACACTACAAAAATTAGATTTTTAAAAATTCCCTGTTGAATCACAAGCAGAGTGATATCAAAGTCGAAATCTTCTGCAAGAGAGTCAACAATAGTAATAAAAACTGAGATTTTGTGAAGTGAACAGTACCCCTTCCTCATTGCACAGTGTCACGCTGCACCCCTTCCTCACGTTTATACCAAAGTTGCCTTGATTAAGGCCCTTGTGGGCTCAGGTGTCTGCCCTGGACCCTAGTAAGGAGGCCCCTTGGCCCCCATTGTTCCCCCCACTTCCTCACGGACCTGTTACCACAGGTCCATCATCTGTAGTCAAGCAGATTTACTGTGCCCTTCACAGCCCTCTTGTCACACAGGTCGACTGCTGCCCTGATCACTCTGAGCTCAGAAACAACGGAGGGGAGAGGATTTTGCCCAGTGGCTGTGGTGACTGTGTGGGGTCTTTGTAGGAACGTCCCATCCCGTGGGGCCAGTTCTCCCATCTGAGTGAGCCACGTCCATGAACGTGCTTCGCCTCGTTCCCCCGTGCGTCATGAATCGGGACCGTCTGCAGAGTGAGTGTGGAGCGGCTTCTCCCACCCTCCTCCTCTGGGGAGACAAGAAATAGCAGTGGCTTGGTGGCCCTTCACCGCAGCAGGTTCCTATGGCAGCCGATCTGCTAGGACAGGAAAGCATCTTCTAGGAAATTTCCCCGAAGAGATTCCGACTGCCTTGACAAACAGCCCTGAGAATTTGTAAATCTGGGCAGCTGTCATGAGCCATGGCATTTGAGAGTCAAGAGGTTTTTGTTGTGTTTCTACACTGAGTAGGGCAGAGGACAGCAGGGAGGACAGGTGTGTGTTTCCATGTGGACTGTTCCCTAGCTTATGGTCCCCTCTGTGCAAGAGTGCATCTGCCTGACGTTATTCACCAAACGAAGGTCCAAATTTATACTAGACCCAAGTCCCTGGATGTGCCCTCCTGATTCCTGTGGGCCACGAGCTTTCGAGAGTGACTTTCCTCGCACACAGTAGGTGCTCAAACTGGTGCTGATGCACGCATGCCAAATGAGTACCTGATGGGGCGTTGCTCTGACCATAGAACACTCTTCGCCCTTGGTGGCGGGAGATGCTTTCCAGGCCCTGCCTCTCGGAGGTTGGCCTGCGCAGGCAGCTGTGCTCCTGCAGAATTATTTAGAGGCCGCAGCAGCTGTCAGCACCTCTTCCCAGAACTAGGGTGGAAGGATAAGGCGACGGGAGTTTTGTGAACGCTCACTGGGAGGTATTTTATATGTGGTGGTCCCCTGGGGAGTGCGGCCATGCCACATGCGAGTGAGGGGTTGGCCTCCTCCAGCTCCATCACCCTGTGAACAGGCGGGCATGCAGCGGGCAGGCCCTGCAAACGTAGGCACCACAGTCCCTGTGGAAAGGGGGCTGGGACCCTGTCACCTCCCGTTACAAATGAGAGGGTGTCGGGTGCGGTGAGCTAGGACTTGTCCGTAAGCACTGACGTAGGACACACAAGAGAAGCTGACCTTTACTCTAAACCTTCGTCCAATCCCTCTTCTGTGATTTGAATGTTGTATAAAACCCTTTGAACAATGGTGTCCATCAGGAAACTCTGTCCTCCAGTGGCCCTTCTTGTGCTTAAATTCTTCATAATTAGAGGGACTTTGTTAACTAGGGGCTGGCTGGTCAGATGGCATGAGATCACAGCTTGTTCGAAATCCTCTGTTACTCCCTGTCTGTCGTTGAAGAAGCACTTGCTTTTCAACAAACCAATTGTCCAGCTTCCCCCAAATAAAAAGGATGCAGTGGTATATGGCGGCCTCCTCATTCGGCCACATGCATTCAAACTCTTCATCCTTTGGATGCTAGGCCTTGCTGTCCTCCTCTGTAAAGCCTGGGGTGATGCCTGCAGCCAGGACGGTGAGGTTAAATAGGACTGAGCCGCCTTCCCTGGGGGTGGCCTCCCATCCCTCATAAATGTTCCTTCCCTGGGCTTCCCTGGTGGCACAGTGGTTGAGAGTCCGCCTGCCGATGCAGGGGACACGGGTTCATGCCCCAGTCCAGGAGGATCCCACATGCCGCGGAGCGGCTGGGCCCGTGAGCCATGGCCACTGAGCCTGCGCGTCCAGAGCCTGTACTCCGCAACAGGAGAGGCCACAACAGTGAGAGGCCCGCATACCGCAAAAAAAAAAAAAAAAATGTTCCTTACCTTTCCTTCGGATCCACGATTTACCCCATCTGTGTTTATGTCCCGTCTCATCTGCCTTGGCACCCAGGCACTCGGCAGGCCCTAATGTGGAGAGCACACTCGGGAGGTGCTGGATGCCTGGGGAGGTCCCGGGGAGCGTGGGCAGAAGGCTCAGTGAGTCACCGAGACCAGAGCAGGCCATGAATGCAGAGGGAGGTGTGGACAGGGACTCAGCCAACATTCTCCACTCGGGTGGGCCATGACAGCTCCTAGAAATCTAGGCGTTAAATCCAGTGCTGGATAGTACTCTCCAGGCAGCCAAGGCCTGAAAGGAAGTCCTGCCCTTTTCTAACTTTTCCTTCTAGAAAGATCCAGCCACAGGAGGTGAAATTGTGTGATCAAGCCTGTTCACCATCTGGGATTTCTGAATCTCTGGGCCCCTTATCAGATAAGAGAACCGGAGCTTCCTGTAACCCCAGCTCTTCTAAGTGTCCACCCCTGATGCATGGTTAGGTCTTCAGAAGAGGGAGCTACCCCAGAAGCTGCCCCAGCGTGCAGTGGCAGCTCCTTGTTGTTAAAACAGCTCCCATTTCTCTTTCCTAGGTGTTTCATTCAATAGTGTTTACACTCAAATTTGGAGAGTCTTGCTACATCTGGCTGCGGATCCCTATCCAGATGTTTCCGATTTGGCTATGAAAGTACTCAACAGCATTGCCTACAAGGTACGTGTGAAGGGCGTTCTTTGTGAAGCTCTCAGGACCCTGGTTTTCAGTTATGAATGTTCAAGCAGAGAACTCCAGTCATGTTCAGGTCTACGCATGGTTTAGGTTTAGAAACTTTGAACGAGCGTTTTGAATCCAGAGATTCACAATATAGGCTAAATTCCATGTGCATGTAGCTTCAGGTGGGGCATGTGTCACTGCTTCTGCACACCCACATCAGGGCAGCAGAAAATTAGGTAAGGACATCTGTATGACCCGTAGTGATGTCCTCTCTTTCATTCCTGGCACCAGTAACGTACAACTTCTCTTATTCATGACTATTTCTGGCTAAAGGTACCTCTTCAAAGAACCAGCTTTTGGTTTCATTAGTACAGTTGACCTCTGAACAACACAGGGGTTAGGGACACCAACCCTGACCCCCCGCAGTCAAAAATCAGCCTTTCCCATTCATGTCTCCACAACCCTGAATTCTGTAGTACTGCAGTGTGTGTTTATTGAAAAACATGTGTATAAGTAGACCCGTGCAGTTCAAACCCACGTTGTCTAAGAGTCAGCTGTGTTTCTCTGCTGTTTTTCATTCTGTGTTTTATTGATACCTGCTTTTATATATATTGCTTCATTTCTTCTGCTTACCCTCAGTTTAATTTGCTCTTCTGATTCTAGTTTCTTAAGATGGAAGCTTAGGTCGTTGATTTTAGTCCTTTCTTCTTTAGGGACTGTAAACTCTCCCAGTTCTTTTTGTGAGCTCTGGGAATTATTTGGCCTTTCAGTGGTTCTTCCCCCACCCTCATGGGTTTTCACGCCACCCCCAAGCAGAAAGTACTCACAGATTTGAGAGGCCTCCCCTGCAGACCCTGGAAGCTCTCTCCTCTCTGCCCTGCAGATTCTAGCCACCTAGGCTTCCATGTCACTCCGATTGGTCCCCTCTGCTAGCTGCACTGCTGGGCTCTGTCTGGATACCCTTCCCCCACCACAGCTGGGTCTGCAGGAAACTGACTGCAGGCCAGGAGCTGGGCAGTGATTTCCCTTCTCTCAGCAGTACCCGGTGCCCAATGTCCGAAAACAGCTGTTTCTTTTTTTTTTTTTTCTGTTTTCCAGCTGTTTATGGAAGTTGGACAGTTTACATGCAGTTAATCTTTCATGAATGGAACAATAATGAATGCCACAAAGAAGTCATTCGTTATAGCATTTTTAAAGATTTTCGTAACTTTTTGATTAAATGTTAGGCTTGCAGACAAGTTACAGGAAAAGTACAGGGAAATATTGTCAAGTGTCACAGTCTACCTGGCGTGTCTCTATCCTCATCTGACCCTAATCACTAACGAGGGGTCGTCCTCAGGCTGCCACTTGCCTGAAGGCACGTGGCTTACTCATAGCTTCACTCCTGGTCTGTTATTTTTTCCAAACTGGTTATCAAGCCCTCCTATTTGCTGCTGCCTCACTGGGGCTGGCCTCCCACGTAGCCCAGCCTCCTGCAGCACCTGGCCGCCTGTTGGCACCATATTTGTGTGGTGTTCGATTCCCCCACCGACGTTATTCTTCACTGGTGAAGTTCTGTCTTTTCCTGGCTGATTGAATCATCTCATTGTCTGTGGCTGCTACTTCAGCTCCTGGTAGCATCACAAGTAGTAATAACACAGCCTCATCGTGTACCCAGTCTTAAACTGTTGTAGCAGTCAACTTCCTCTTCCTCCTTAAGGAAGCAATGAGGATAATTCAGGAACACATTCTGGGTTTAACCCCAGCCTCTGGTCACACGTGTGACTCTCTCTGGAAGCAGAGACTCCTAGGTACACAGTGTTCGCTGCACTTCCTGCCTGTGAGCACTGCCAGCCTCATGGCTAAAGTGCTAGGCATTACTGTTGGCCGACTCGGGACTATCGGGTAGTTTATTCCACTCTGACCTCCCTTGCGCCCAGTGAGCCCCTCGCCCACTTTCTTCATCATCCTACCGTGTGACTCACCACAAAGGCACCTGAATGCTGTTCCACCCTCAGGGAGTGTGGAGTCCTGTCAATGTCTGTAGGAGAGAGGCCAGTGAGTTAAGGTAACTCTTTCACTCTGTAATACAAAACTAAGAAATAGTCTTGTCATCTGCTTTTTCAACTAAGGATACGATTGATTCAAACATCAAACTTCTCTAAAATGTATGTTTGTTACAACATATTAGGGCCTGTGACCAAGGGAGGGAGGAAGTACAGTCTTGGGGAAAGAAACAGAGGAAAAGGAAGGAGGTCCTGGAGAAAGGCACAGCGGACTCGAGTGGGTGTCATCCTCCTCGTCTGTGAAAATGGAGCCTCCCTGCTCTGCCCAGTCCTGGCCTCACTGATGCGAGTTCCCCTCCTGCGAGGCCGAGGATTGAGGGCACCCAGGCCCCCAGGTGTGCGGCTCTCCCAAGTGCCAGCTAATTCATCACGGTCACCACCGTTGCTTTAAGTGAATTCTACCTGGGACTTAGAGTCCAAAAGGAAAGTTTATATTATTTATCTAGGAAGTGTGGTTTACAGAAAAATTACTCTTTAGATAAATAGAGTCACGTGCTTTCATAGGTGTCCATTCTCAGTGCTCCAGCAACCAGGGGCTCTGCCTCATGCTTAGCCCAGAATTACCTGTAGACGATCCTTTGGGGAATCACCTCCTCCCACATGAATCCAGATCTTTGGTATGCAGTTAACAGGGACTTTTCTGAAATACTCCATCCCCCAAGAGAGAGCAGCCAAAAGCCTCCGTTGGTGTCCTAAACCCTGACTGTGTCGAGATCCAGTTGGGAAACTCGCTGTCCTCGTCACCTCTGTAGAGTGTTTTCTCTGCACTGGATCACGCTTTCCTGCATCCCTGTGAGGCGACGTGTTCTAGTGGAAGATCTGCAGAGTAAGAAAGCGCTGGGAGCGGGAGACAGAGGGGGTGTCTTATTACGGCCCCAGGCTCCCGTTACAGCGACCACCCCCATTAACTGCATGGGGGTGGGGAGCACAGGTGGGGCTGTGTGAGTGTCCCTGCAAATCGTTTCTGTGTTTGCACTGGGCTAAGAGGGTACATCTGACCTAGAATCCTACTAACAAGGTGTTTGCCACTCTCTAAAAAGTTGGCTTGTAGCCCTAATTATGACCTCCCACTGCTGCCCTTCCTCTTCTGGACTCAACACTTGTTGGGAAGGGAACTCACCTCGGGCCTTCATCAAAGCGCGTCTGCTGGTCCAGTGACTCCAGCGCAGTGTCATGGAGGGAGAATGACAGGGTGTTGACACCGTGAGAACAATGGGCAAGTGTGCTCGCAGTGGATGGGGCTCACGGTGAGGTCCTGGGGTCTCTCAGACCCACGCTCCATCCTCCTCCATATACAGCCCAAGCCTGACATCCAGCAAGCACACCGGTGTTTCTCTGTTACCCTTTCCTGGCGGTGTGCTTCTGTGTGAAACGGCGACTGGAACCAGCACAGAAAGGGGCCTTCCTGGAGGACATCTCCCACAACCTGCTCGCCACCTGCTCCCGGAGCAGCCTCCATCCACACCAATCCCATGGACAGGCGGGTCTGCGTGGCCACCCCCCACTCATGCTCACCACTGCAGCACCACTGCAGTGAATGTTTGTTGCACAAATAGGAAACGTTAGGCAAAGAAGCTTCATCTAAGCCTGAAACCCTAGGATCGATCACCAGTCATGGGGCCTCCCCAACCAGTGACATGCCACCTCTCAGGATTTCCAGAACGGATGCAAAACTAGAGCTGGGTGCAGCAGCCGTCAGCGTGAACTGCATTAAAAAATCACGGCTGTCTTCTTTGCCCTCGAGGCTGAGACAGAACAAGCCAGGGCTGTGCCACCTCCACCCCCAGGGAAGAGCAGGGAAGCAGAGTTAGTCACCCCAGGCCCACGCGCTTCTTCCCTTTTGGAGCCTCCTTGGAGGGGAGCAGTCGGGGTGGGGGTCTCGGGGGAGATCAGCACCGTGGGCTCCAGCTCAGGCAGTGGCAGAGCCTCTGTGCTCAGGGAAACTTTGAAAGGTCGTGGATTCAGCCGAAGTCTGCATTTCAACCCCAAAGTTTTCTGTCTCTCCTCTGTCTCTCTCTCCCACTGATTTTCTAGAAATTTTGAGGAGACACATATTCGGTTTATAGTTTCTTAGCTTAAATTTCTTTTCTCCTTTTAGACCTCTTAAGGGATCATTTGGCTCTCAGGCTTTGTTGGGGTTGTGTGTGTGTGGAGGCCAAATAACTTAAATAGCAAAGCAAAACAAACACAAACAATACAACTTTTATAATTCAAAAAATAAAAAAGTTTTTATAGGCTGGTTATGATTCAGTTCTTGCTGTTTGCATTTCAAAGTGAAGGATTATCTGGGAAACATTGGTATTATGTTGGTGGTTTTGTATTCTGTAATTTTCTACCTGTCAGCTGAATATAGGTATGGCCTTCCTAACTGCTGAGAGAATAAGCCAGAATTTGAGGGTCTTCTGTAAGTAGCCAGTCCAGGGTTCTCCTGGAGCATCACCCCATGAAGGTCGAGGCTCCGCCCATCTCACTGGGTGACACCCAATCTTCGAGAACTGAGCCTGGCACCAGCCACACTTGGGCAAGTGGTGGCCAACAGCCGCCACTCCTGTTCTCTTCCTGCCAGAGTGGCGCCCCCTCCACAGCATCAGCCCCTTTCTGGTCCTTTCACCCTGGATGTCCAGATCCAGCAGGCCCATCCAGCTGTCCAGCACTCAGAACAGAGGTCCAGGAAAGAACTCGGCATCAGTGGGTCCACCAGTAGCTAAGCAGTGACACCCCTGTTTGCTTATTGTCTCCTCCACCATTTTAAAAAATCACAACAAAGCTGCTTCCCTCCTGACTGCCAGCCCAGGCTGGCACAGACCCTCTGCTGGGTAAAATATCAAACCTGCACGTGATCATGGGAGGAAGTGCACAGACCTGGGTCTTGTCTCCATTCACAAAATGCTGCACCCAAGGTGCTGTTTTGAGCCTGTGCCGAAATATGACAACGAACAACCGAGGCTGAGCCTAGGCAGGCTCCTTCCCAAGTGCCAGCTCTGCCCAGGAAGCTGCTCCCTCCAGGGGAGCCCCTGCCATGAGAGGGAGCCTGGAGAGCCTTCCTTCTCCCCAACTTCCAGACCCCCCCACTCCTCATTAGTCCCAGTGCAGTTTTGTGACAGCGTTTCGGGGCAGGGGCCGTCCTTGGAGCCTCATTGAACCAGGTGAATACTTTCCAGAAAAGCAACAGAATATCATTTTATCTAGCGGGTGACATTTGCGGGGAAAATTTTAACTGGGCCCTTCCATTCCTATGAGATTTCCTCAGCCAAAAGCCCTTTTCTGTGATTTTGAAGCCACTCAAAAGCAGCCACCAACCTGTGCTTGTCTTGTAGCCTCAGGTTGTCACAGTGACCACCCACCTCACTTGTCCCTTTGTTCCTTCAGGCCACAGTGAACGCCCGGCCTCAGCGCATCCTCACCACCTCTTCCCTCACTCAGTCGGCACCCGCCAGCCCCACCAACAAGGGCATCCACATCCACCAGGCGGGGTGAGTGATGGGCAGCTGCCTTCCGGGGTCTGGGGAGGTTCCCAGCACAGCCTCCCCCCGCCTCCCCCTCCCTCTCCAGCCTGCAGGCTCTCTCTCACACCCCGACATCTTCTCATCTGAGCCCCTCCTAGAATCCTTTCCTACCTTTATCTGCACAATTGTGACAGCAAAAGTTGACCTGAACCTGACTCCATTCAGAATTTTATCAGAGAGGGTCCGTGTCTTCCAGTGAGTGACCAGCAGGGTGGAACCCTCCACTTAATCAGTGTTCACAGAGCTGTGCACTGGATCTCAGGGGAGTAGACGTGCCCTGCACCCTCCTGGAGCCTACTCAAAGTCCTGCCTGAGTTTGCCTCCGGCTGCATTGGTTTTCAGGGGAAGATGGTTCTCAGAACCTGCAGGCAGAAGCTAGGAGGGCTCATTCATTCAGCATCAGCAGCTCAGGTTCGGAGGTCACGTTGCCAAGCCACCAATTGAGGATGGTCCGAGCTGTGACCCTGGGCCCATTCGCAGGATCTGGGAGTGGGCAGTACCAGGGGAAGTTGCTTAGGGTTTGGTTTCAAAGGAGTGGGTTCTGGGTAAAACAGTGTTTCTTTTTTCCCGACGGCAGAGGCTCCCCACCAACATCCAGTGCAAGCAGCTCCAGCCTGACCAACGACGTGGCCAAGCAGCCGGTCAGCCGAGACCTGCCTGCAGGCCGGCCGGGCACCACAGGCCCCGTGGCGGTACAGTACACACCCCACTCCCACCAGTTCCCCCGGACACGGAAGATGTTCGACAAGGGCCCAGACCAGGTACGGATGTGGTTTTAAACACTAACTCTAATGGGCTTGGGTGCTGGGACGTTCACTCCTGAGAGGAGAGGCACCACCTCGGGCGACGGGGTGCATGTGGCCTCGGCCCGGGTGCAGAAAGCCGTGAGCCACCGACGGCTCTGGGCTCCTGCCCCCACATCTGGGCAGATATTGCAGGGTGTCCCTCTTCCTCCTGCAGCCCCTTGTTCTGGGTTCACTCTTGGCAGCTTCCATGTAACAAGCAGCACATGGGCTGATTGGCTTTTTCCCTTCTCAGTCAATAGCATTTGTCTCCACTAAACGTGGCAGCTGCTCCACAGAAGCGCTTGTTCTGACAGGTTGTTTGCTTTTTCCATCAACATTCAATTATGCCCCGTAGGTGGGTGTGGTCTCAGCCGCTAAGTTAAACGAGGCCGTTCAGGAGAGGGAGGAATTGGCGTCCTTGTTTGTCAGGGTTGTGAGAACACATAACAGGGTGGACACAAAAGCTGGGGCCTCGTGTCTTGTCCAGACTGCTTGCTGCTGTCCCGGCCAAGCACAAACGGTATAGCGAGGGTGTTCTGAATGCGCCAAGGACACGTCTCAGCTCACCAGTGACCGGCAATTTTAACAGGAAGGTCACAGCAGCCTGTACCCTGACTTTGGAACTAGATGCAGGTGTTGGGGATGGACAGGTGTCCACACCTGCCACCGGCCCCGCCACCTGGCTTTGGAGCTGCCTGCTCCCCTCGCCTCGATGGCTGAGGAACAAAAACGGCCACAACGCCAGGTGCCACGTTTAGCCTCCCGGCTGGACCCTACATGGGGCAGCCAGGCAGGAGCGGCTGGACCATGATCCGTGGGTCCTGGCCCAGCAGAGCTGCGAGGTGGCGGCAGGTGGCTGCGGTTCCCCTGTCAGGCGGGAGGTAAGACCTTATTGCTGACCCCATCTGTGGGATTTTCCACCCAGCGTGTCTCCCTGGGTAGCAGGGGCTCCTCTGTGAGGCACTTCTCATGCCTGGCCACGTGCAGTGAGGCAAACCCCTGCTCTGCCATCCTGGCCCCCATTGGTTCTGCAGCGGGGAACAAACTGAACCATTGTCCCAGTGAGCAGAGCCACGTGTTTTAAGTTTTAATGCTTAGAAGTCCCAGTTGGCCCAAGCTCTACTGTGCTCTTATCCAGGAGCCAGAGGGTAGGCCAAGGTCCTATGTGTATGACTGGCCTGGTGGGAGCGGCGGCCCTGGGACCAAGCAACAAAGGCCTCGTGGGGCTGCTGACTCAGCACCGATGGCAAGTGTCAGGGACTCTGCAGCCCAGGCCACCTCAGCCAGCCCTGGGGGATGCTCGGCCTCTGAGCGCAGACTCAGAGCCCTGTCCTGACAGTCGGGGTTCCTTGGGCACCAGGACGCAGAAGTGAGGGGACCACGGAGATATTGCCCTCAGAATCCTGACCCCTGTGCCTTGGTCTCCAGGGATGGACTGTCTCGAGCTCACAAAGAAGTTCGGGGGTGACGTGACTAACTCTGTTTCTCTCTTCTCCTCCCCTCCTCCTTTCCAAATGCCCCGAAGACCACTGACGACCCGGATGATGCTGCCGGGCACAAAAGTTTCATTTCGGCCACAATGCAGACAGGGTTCTGCGACTGGAGCGCGCGGTACTTCGCCCAGCCTGTCATGAAGGTAGTGGTGTGTCAGCAGCTCTCAGGGTTTAAAGCCAGAATCCCCTGGCATGCACTGCCCGCATCTCCTCAGCAAACGCACACAGGACTCCAGAGCCCCGGCCTCAGGCCTGGGTGTCTGAACCCCTCTGCTCTGAGCTCAAGGTCTGATCCCCACTGGTTTGCTCACTGTGACCCTCGGGGGCCACATGCTGTGACTCCTAGCAGCCCAGGTGCAGTTGCGCAGGCCCTGCCCTGAGCCGTGGCCCGGGGCAGGTGCCGGCTGCACAGGGCCCTGCTGTACCCACTTGGCCTCCTGTCCCACCGAGGGTGGCTGTTGAGGGGACGCCAGATTGCTGTCATGGTAGCTGGTATTAACAGGTAAAAAACAGTAAAAGAAACAGACCTCACTTACCTGCCTTTTCCGAGCTTGCCAGTATAAAATGTGCCATTTTGTCTTGATTAGCAAGGTCATCCAGGCGGTCCCCAGGCCTCACTTGGGCCGCTTCTGGCTCTGGGGGCTGTTGGACTATGCTAGCTGACTGGGGTGACCTGGCTTATTCCGGGACACTGCCTTCCAGGTTTGATGACGTGACGTGCGTCCTCTTGCTACAGACTCCGGCCACACATTCAGGGTGCCAGGGTGAGACAGGGCAGTGCTGTCAGAGCTGAGTCTTCGTGCCCGTCTTTCTGCAGGGAGTGCTGCAGGGGTTCATTTTAGACTTGCTGATCTAAAGGACGTTCTTACAAAACCACCTTCCTCTTCCCTCATAGATAATGGAAAATTGAAAACTGCAGTTTATTCTCACTTGTATATCAAGCTACATATCCAAGTAATTTCCAGGAAGAGTATTTGGACTCTATTACAACTTTTCTCCGGCCTTCCTGTTTCCCTGTAGTGATACTGATTTTTGTCAGTTACAACACAGAATAATGATTGTCAGTGCCTGAGGCAGGTGATAGGGTTCTAATTTATCAAGCCCCGTTGCTGAAAAGAAGCACTCTCTCAGTAGCGAAAACTAGGATCCACGGAAATGTCCAACAGGAGGGGAATGGTTAAAAAAGGATGAAGTATTTGATACGATATTATTGGGGCTATTAAAAAATAAAGCTTTGAAATTAGTAACATAAGAAAATGCTCATGATAAAATTTCTTTAAAAGGGAAAAAAAAGCAGGACGTAAACTGGCCACAGGATGGCCATACTTTCTACACTTAGCACGAAGTACCTTTGTAATCAGGAAAAATATATACTAAAGAAATGACCCCGGGACTTTCCTGGTGGCGCAGTGGTTAAGAATCTGCCTGCCAATGCAGGGGACAAGGGTTCGAGCCCTGGTCTGGGAAGATCCCACATGCTGCAGAGCAACTAAGCCTGTGCGCCACAACTGCTGAGCCTGCGTGCCACAACTACTGAAGCCCGTGCGCCTAGAGTCCGTGCTCCTCAACAAGAGAAGCCACCACCATGAGAAGCCCATGCACCGCAACGAAGAGTAGCCCCCACTCGCTGCAACTAGAGAAAGCCCACATGCAGAAACGAAGACCCAACACAGCCAAAAATAAATAAATAAATTTTAAAAAGTAATAAAAAAATAAAGAAATGACCCCAAGAGATCATTGAGGCCTGTTACAGTCAACCAAGTGTGTTGTCCACGCCAGGGTCGGCCTGCTCCTGCTGACCTACCCGCCTGCAGACAGGACATCTCGGGCTCCTCTGGCTAAGGAAGGAGGGAGTAGGCAAACACCAGAATTTGTCCCAGGAGACAGTTCATCACTGGTGCTGTAGGTAGCGAGTTGTCCTTTAGATCTGTGGTACATACCATCTGCTTGAAAGTCAAGGGGGTTTAGTCTAATAGTAATGGAAGTTCAGTTTCGTTGATACAGTCTCCTGCTTAAGGCAAGTGTGGTCAAGTGACTTGGACTCTAGGTGGTTGGTCTGCCATCTCACTGAAACGGCAGTGACTGTAAGTCTCGGAAGCTACTGGATGGGGTGCTGAGTGGCTGTCCTTGAAGTCTCCAGGGATGCCTGTTCTCAGTCATCTACCTGTGGGGAGAAGTGGCATAGGTAATCCAAAACACGTTTCTCTTAAACTTAGAAATGATCTTGACTTTTCTCTAAGGATTTGCTTTCCTTTCCTCAGCACCGAGTACTCAGACTCAGAGTGCAGGTGCCCTCCAGCAGCGCACGTCAGCTGACCGCGGGGGGAGGCTCCGCAGGCGAGGGCTGCGGTTTGTGGGGACCTCTACTTACGTGTTCACGTGTTTCACTCAGATGCAGACCCACAGCCACCACTGGAAAAGGCGAAACAAAGCTGCAGGGACAGAGAACAGAGGGCAGGGTGTTGGGCTGGGGCTGGGGGGAGGGCTTGACTACAGAGGGCACCTGGCAGTTTGAGGTGTGGGGGACCGTTCAACATGCTCACTGTGGTGGTGGTTACATACTGTCCCCAAAAGGGTGAAATTTAATGCATGTGAGCTGTATCTCGGCCACCCTGATGCTTTACGAGAAGTGTGGCCTGATGACGAAAGTGCCCATAGTTGGGTATCAGTACCTGCAGTGAACTCTGATCTGCACTTCAGAGCTTTTTCCTTGGCAGTCAGTGGTCTTCACCCCTTAGATGTCGTGTCCAGAGGTGGCGGGTTGAGCCGGGTCAGCCCGCAGCCAGTGCACACCCTCCCGGTACTGCTGACCCCCGTCATTGTTTGGGGAGGGTGTTTGTTATTAAACGAGGTGAGAGGCAAGCGCAGAGGTACTCTGTCCTGCCACAGAACTCGGCTTTGTTTCTGGTGGGAACCCAGGGAGCTCGGTGTCTGAGAATTTAGCATTGACATCATGAGCCTTCCCCAGGGGTCATGCTGCAATCATGATAGTCACGTGCCTGTCATGAATTTTATCCCGTGCACTTGAACCTCTTTAAATTCAGAGGCATTGAGGGTAAGACCCAGCCCTGTGATTCACAAATTCATCATGTGAGAACCTGCTCCACGTGGAAATGCCCGCCCTCAGGCTTCTGCAGACCCTCTGGCCTTCCTTTGTTCCCAAGCCCAGCCTGCCCCAGTGACAGGCGAGGAGGAGCGAGGGGGACACCCTCACCAGCTGTCAGCCGCCAGCTCCTCAGGAGGCTTCAGCACCGTAATTGGTTTCTGTTTGAGGAAAAGCCAGGAGGTGTTAGGGATTCGAGGAGTGTCGTGATCCTAATCACGTAACACTATTTCCCACGCCCACGTCCCTCCAGCTCTGCTTAGAGGAAAGCAGCACAGTGTGGGTCTGGGCTTTTGTTTAGTCAGAAGCTTTTGTTCAGCCTGCAGAGCCGTGGGGGAGGGGAGGAGCACATGAGCAGGTGATTAAGAAAGGCTGAGTGGGAAATCGTCTGTCTGGTCCCTCCGTACATCCTTGTCCATCCCGGCCGGCCAATGCCGGCTGCTTCTCATGGCCTCTTCTGCTCTCTTGTCCTCTCCTCGCCTCACTCCACCCTCGCCTCCCACACTGTCCCACTGCTCTCCGCCCCTGCTTGTCCTAGCACTTCATGGCGATTATCCCCAAGACGATGCGTGCACTGGTTCCTGGGCTGCGGTTTAGTTCAGTTCAGTTCTGCAAGTCCTTCTCTGAGCTCAGCAGAGCCTGTATGCCCGTGGGACTGCTCCCGGGAGCGCCACGCTCTGCTGCACAGGACTCAGGCCAGGGCAGTGATGGCTGGCTGTGCCGTGGATGTCAGCCTGTCTGTGTCCCCAAGGCACGTGTGGCCACACGCCCATGCGCAGCTGCCTCCCGTCCCCCTTCCTTCCTCCCACCTGCCCCCACCATGGGGAGTACAGTCCAGAACTTCATGCCTGCCTGTCCCACTCCCTTCCTGCTTGTCTAGACCCTTCCTCTAATTTATTCCCGCAGAAACGAGAGATTTATTCAGGTGCAGTCTCAGTCTTTTCATGTGGGGTTTTCTTATTATTGTTCTACGTTATTGGTTATTTGTTATTTGTTTTCAAATAATCTCTGGATTGTCATGAAACAAAACCAACTGGTAAAAACCCACCGTCTATCCCAAGTACCTTTGTGGGGTTATGTCTACAGCACTAACTGTGCTCTGGAGGCTCTGGGTGACTTTTCTTCGGTTGTCTCTGTGTCAGGATATCTTTGCTGTTTTGCTGGGTGTAGTTTTGTGATTTTTAAGAGAAAAAAAGGAGTGTAGCAGTGAAATGCTGGAACACAGAGGCCTCGGCACCTGTACACAGGGACGAGGTGAGGTTTGGGGTTGTTCATTTGTGATCAGAGATAACACAGAACATTCTAGGAGAAGACACGAAAGTGCTCCATGACCATTTCATGTAATAACTGCCTAAAACGTGAGCTGAACTCCTCTCCGTGTAGACGTCACCTCGTTTCTCAGCCACACTTACACACGGGCACGTGCACATGACCACGTTCACTGTCCTTCATCCTGATGCTTTCTCCAGGATGAATATGGGCTCCTTCTGCCTGTGTGGTGTTACCTGGCTGAGTACAAGGCTGGTTAACTCAGCTAAGTGGAAGAAGGGTTTTTCCTAGTTTACTTGATTCCTTTTGTATTTTGGGATTTTACAACTCTGAGTTTTCAAGCAGGGAACCAGAGTTAGCCAGATTGACTATGTGATTTAGGAGATACATCTTTTTTACATGACAAGTGATTGTTATGAATAAAGTAGACTTAAATCATAACTTATTATTTGCTAAGTGTGGCCCTCTCCTAGGCACACCCATCCGTAGCCCACATGCACACACGCCAGCCATGAAGCAAGAAGGGCCCTTATCCAGGAAAGGGGACTGTTCCACAGCATCCATATACTTCACATGCAGATAAACTCCGTTTCTTGAAAGCTGATTAGGGAGGGCAGAAGTTCTCTGGCATAGGGTCGAAGCCCCTTCCTCAATCTCCACCTGTGCGGAATCCGATGCCAGCTTCACCCTCTGCTGCATTAGGTGGAGTGGGGCGGGCAGCAACTCCCAGAGAAGGTCCCACCCTCAGGCCCGGCCTGCCTCTCGCAGCTGTCACGGGGTAGCCATGCCCTGGCTGCTGTCCTCTGTCACTTCTCATGAGCTCGTTCATCTTCTAACCAGATGCCTCTGTTCCCTTTGGCATCAAAGAATAAAAGCAAAAGTCTCTGAGCACAGCCCATCTTTTTCCGATTTTGCATTTAAGGGCAAGAAGGAGCAAATTTAGTGTCTGGCACAGCAGGGCCCTTTGTGTCCCCTCCTTCGGAAAACACCCAGCCCTTATCCCTGAATCTCCCCTCAAAATCTGTCTGCTTTGAAAGCAGCCCCCCTGCTGCCCTGTCAGAGTGCGACGACTTCTGGCTTCCACCGTTGGGCCATCGTGGGGGCAGGGGCTTCCTAAGTCTCCACTCCGCGTCCCCGCGCCGGCCAGCCCTCCCCCCACCCGGTCCCAGGTCTCAGAGCCTCTAAGCCCAGCGGGCAGCAGTGAGCGGCACTCCCAGCATAGAGAGGGAAGCTGCTTCGGGGATCCAGTGACCAACCTCTGACTGTAATGCTCTGCTCTAGCCTGCGGTAGGGCACTGGACACTGGGCTGACCAGAGAACCCAGATTCTTTAGCACCTGCGGAGGACGAATCCTCTTATCTGGAAATAATTGTTTTTTTATTGTTGAAGATCCCGGAAGAGCATGACCTGGAGAGTCAGATCCGCAAGGAGCGGGAGTGGCGGTTTCTGCGAAACACCCGCGTCAGGAAGCAGGCGCAGCAGCTCATCCAGAAGGGTAAGCAGTGTCCCCAGGGGCCACCGCGGTTGTTGAGCAGGCGCCCACCCGCCCTTGTGCAGGGGAGAAGTGAGGCTGGCAGAGATGCTCGAGGGAGGGAGGAGTGCCAAGGTGGGGGCACCATCCGCCTGCCTGACAAAGCCTGGTCCCGGGAGACTCTGTGCCTTTGCCCTCAGGGAGACTTGGAAGCTCTCTGGGATCATCGTCCAGGGAAGCTCCTGTCTTGACTGGCAACTTCTGGACAATTGTGTCTTCTGCCTTTTGTCGTTTCCAGAGAGGAAGGAGCAAGCCCTCCGCAGGCCCTGGGGTCCACGGTGGAGTGGGCCTGTGTCCTCCCCATGGGGACAGAAGACAAACACCAGGCCCTGGCTGTGTTTACCTGGACCCCACCAGGCCCCCAAATAATTGCTCTCTATCACCCAAAGCTGTGTACCAGTCACATTTTGACCAAACCTTTTACTAAATTTGCCAGCAGATGCCCAAACCGCCCACTTGGCATGCCCCCCAGCCCCACGCCCCGGAGAAGTGGCAGTGAGCAGCGTGGGCAAGTGCTGCCACAGGGAGGGCTGCTGGGCCGCGGGTCCCCCTCATCTTGGCTGCAGCAGCCCCCCAGGCACTGAAGCAGGGTGGGAGGGGGCAGCTGAGGGCCTCCACCCTGTGATCAGAACCGGGACAGAGTACTGGGGCCGTCACCATCCCCCAGAGACGAGCCTCTCTCCTCTCCCTCTCCCAGCAGTACAGCCCCCGCTGGCCCGGGAACCGACCCAGTCCCACAGCTGTGAGTGCACAGGGCGTGGGCTGGTCTTTTGGCTCTGCCTGAGCCCTCATTGCTGGGCCAGCTTCGGGCGGTGGACTGACCCTGCCCAGGTACCGCACAGAGCGGATAAGCAGGCTCTTAACGCTTCTGTTGAATTATTGTCGTGACCCTGCCTCCCTGTCCTGTCAAATTCTCTTGATTATTACCGGTTACTTTTTAAAGTTGAGGGTGAGAACCCATGAGACCGTCCCTGCCTGCAGGCAGCCTGGAGTCGGGATCTCGTCCCTGGCCCGCCTGCCCAGGCCCATTGCACTCCTTGGCCCACTGAGCACTTCCAGAAGCAGTGCTGTTTCGGAAGCACTTCGGCATGTGTTCACAGTGCTCTCCGTGAGATGCTCGGGTCACGTTTCATTAATGTGCGGTCACTTCTGCTAAAACCAATCTTGGTTGTTTGTAACTCGCCTCTATGAAAGCACTGTCGCAGCTGGATGTAAAGCCTCTGGGGATGTGGAATTCAGAGTCTGCAGCTTTCTCCAGGAGAGAGCGAGCCGCCCAGCATGATAGAAGCTCTCCGCATGATGGGGTCAAGGGCCTATTTTCTTGGAAGTTGGTGGTTCTTTAGAACCCCAGGCCTATGGACGGGGACAGCAGAACAAATTGGTTTCCCTGTACCCACGGGCGCAACCTGGGAGCCAGTCTGCTGCGTGCAGTCGGACATCTGAACGGGGTGAAATTAGAGCCAGCCACTCGAGAAACAACTAGGTTTTCCAGACAAAAAAGAAAAAAAGTATCCCTGTAAATTAGGGTCAGGGGTTCTCTTTTCCAGTCTTTGTGGAAAAAAATAGGTCTGCTCGTCAGACACACACCGAGAGGAACTGCTGAGCCGCTGAAAACCTTAGCAAGTGAGCTTGCTGACGGGAGCATCACTGCCGGTGGACGTGGGCAGGGCGGACGGGGCCGCTAGTGAGTCCGCAGCCTCCTCCGCTACCTGCCGCATCAGAGCCTGGACTCCTCATGAAGTTGTAGTTTTATCTGAGGCCAGCGGTGTGCTGGGAAGGCTGTGAACGGTAGAAGTACGGGAATCACACCTGCGGGCTGAGCAAAGTCACCGGACAAGTCAGCGAGGCCCCAGAATACGAGCTGGGAAAGTTAATGCTGCCTTTTCTATCCATGACCCCTCCGGCCACCCCCCATGACACCATGACTTTGCCATCATACATGGATCTCTGCATGTCTGCAGAACACCTGCAGTGACTCAGGACCTGGGTATCCCCTCATCTTTCCTGGGTCAAATCATACCTCTGTCCTGGGGAACCCATGGCTGTGGGGGAAGGCACCTCTGGGCAACAGTTAAACCCTCTGGGACCTGTTTGCCTGTTAGTTTAACCCTGTCTTGATTGTTGAGTGGTTTTCTGTGTTAGTTGTTTTAGCAAAGGGAGGCGGAAAAGGACTGAAATTGTGGGTGACAGTAGCTCGCCCGGCCGGCGCCAGGTTCACAAAGCGTGAGCAGCTCCTCTGTGTCACCCAAGACTTGCGTCCAGCCACTGAGGAGGGGGTGACCCCGGGGCCTGAGTGTCATGAGGGCTGCTCACCCTCTACGACGTGCAGGGAAGAGGGGCCACCACGCCTGGCTCCTCTGCATAAGCCTGTGTCATTCTCCAGAAATGTGTGTGAACCTGTCAGATGCTCTTAGCAGTTTTATCCTCTTTTCATTGTTCTTCTAAAGCTCCTTCAGGGCCACGAGGGTTTTTTCCCAAGTGGCTGTATTGGGGCCTGGTGAACAAATCCCCGTTCACATCCTTGGCTGGATTGCAGACAGCGATGGCCAAACCGAGGCTTCAGCCTTGGGTCTCAGTTACGAATCTCAGCTTTACTGAGCTTTATTCCAAAATCTTTGGTGCTCTTTTCCTAAAACCTTAACCAGTGTGCACTGATCTGAGTATTGCTGACGAGTTGTTGCAATTATATATCGAATGCTAGCCATGTACAAGCAGAGGCAGGGCCCTGCTGTCAGGAACCCACCCGTGCGCTGTAACACCTGCTTTCCTCTGGGCCCCTCCAGGTCCCCAAACATTAGGGACTGGTGTCGGCCTTGGTAAAATACATCATTGACATTTGCTGCAAATTGAGACCCATAGTCGTGTGTTTCCCTTGGCAGGTATCACAAGGCTGGACGACCAGATATTTCTGAACAGGAACCCTGGTGTCCCCTCCGTGGTCAAGTTTCACCCCTTTACACCGTGTGTGGCCGTCGCTGACAAAGACAGCATCTGGTACGTGGGGCACTTGCAGGGCTGGCCTTTCAGCTGGAGAACAGGTAGCCCCTGGGGGGTGTGGGCAGGATGCCCCTGCACCCTCCTGGTGTGGAAGCTCCTCAGCCCGGGCCTTTGGGCTGTTTCGGGGTGGGGGGGCTGGAAAACTTGCAGAGAGACGTTCCTTCTCCTGGTGTTGCCCGCGCCCTCCCAGCGTTGCACTTGGCCACGTTACCACGGGTGTTCCAGAGGCCTGAGCACGGTTATGTGTGGGCCGGGACGGGAGCTTCTGGTACGAAGATGGGGCCATTCCTGTGCAGTGAACAGAGACCGGTGCACAGGGGCTCATCAGGATCCCACAGCGACAGGACATGTGAGGAACCCGCTTGTGTGCAAGGACAGCAAGTGTGTGAAGGGAAAGTGTCAGTAACAAGACACCATGTTAATTCATAGTGACCATTGCCCTTATGTCACTGAGAAAGCGCTCACTTGATGGGAGAGAACCATGGACGCAATTCTTTTTATAGCTGATAAAATGGATATAATTCTTTTTTTTTTTTTTTTTTTTTTTTTTTGGCTGTGTTGGGTCTTCATTGCTGCACACGGGCTTTCTCTAGCTGCGGCGAGCGGGGGCTACTCTTCGTTGTGGTGCGCGGGCTGCTTCTCATTGCAGTGGCTTCCCTCATTGTGGAACACGGGCTCTAGGCGCGCGGGCTTCAGTAGTTGCGGCACGTGGGCTCAGTAGTTGTGGCTCACAGGCTCTGCGCACAGGCTCAGTAGTTGTGGTACACGAACTTAGTTGCTCCACGGCATGTGGGATCTTCCCGGGCCAGAGATCGAATCCGTGTCCCTGTATTGGCAGGCGGATTCTCAACCACTGCACCACCGGGGAAGCCCAAAATGGATAGAATTCTTACCTGTTTCTTATTCCTCTCCTTTTTTTATACATAACATAAAATTTACTGTCTTCTCCGTTTTTAAGGCTGCAGCTCAGTGGCATTAAGCACATTCACCTTGTTGTGCAGCCATCACCACTGTCCGTCTCCAGGCCATCGCCCTAAACTGAAACTCTGTCCCCATGAAACACTGACTCCCCCTCCCCACTTCCCAGGCCCAGCACCCCACACTCTACTTCCTGTCTCTATGAATTTGTCTATTCCAGGAACCTCATATAAGTGGAATCATCTAGTATTTGTCCTTTTTTTGACTGGATTATTTCACTTAACAAAGCAGGTATCAGAACTTCCTTCCCTTTTAAGACAGAATAATAGTCCATGTGTATGGACCACATTTTGTTACATCCTGCCTCCATTGATGAGCATTTGGGTTGCTTTCACCCTTTGGCTGTTGTGAGTGACACTGATATAACCTGGGTGCACAGTGTATACCCAGAGGTGGAATCCTGGCCAAACGGTAGTTCTGTGTTTAGTTATCTTGAAGAACCACTCTTGTTTCGCATGGCAGCTACACCATTTTATGTTCCCACCAGCAGGGCACAGCGTTCCAGTTTCTCCACATCCCTGACAACATTTGTCCCTTTCTGTGTTTTTGCTGGTGGCCGACCTGGTGGGTGTAAGGTGGTATTTCCTTGTGGCTTTTCTATTTCCCTGATCACTAGCCTTATTCCTCTCTTATTCCCTGAAGTTTTTGGGACTGGGAGAAAGGGGAGAAGCTGGATTATTTCCACAACGGAAACCCTCGGTACACGAGGGTCACGGCCATGGAGTATCTGAATGGCCAGGACTGCTCACTCCTGCTCACAGCCACAGGTGAGTGGGGTTTGTGTGGTGGGGACCTAAACCCCAATGCAGAGGTGGTGGGGGACAGATGCAAGACCCCAGCACGAATTGGCACAAAGCTTCCTGTGACCTCGATTGTTTCTTCTGGCAAAGGGGACTAACCGCTCCCAGGTGGAGGCCTCCATCATTAAAGGCACACCCATGGGGAGAGGTCCTGCTGGCAGCCCTCCCCAGGAAAATAAAGTCCAGCCCCGGCCCAAAGCCAGCCCCCTGGCAGACATCAGGCAGGGAGGGGGAGGACGAAAACCCAGAGTGGTGCGGGCAGCCAGTAGGGTCAGTTGGGGGTTTGAGGACAGATCACACTGAGCCTCTCTGAGCGCCAAAGAGGAGGCAGAGAGGGTGATTCCCCGGGCGCAGAGACACAGCAGAGGAACCCAGGGCTCTTCAGGAGTCGGGTCCCAGTGGAGGTGCAGCACGAGGCTTCATTTCTCAGCAGAGATCAGGCAAGTGTTTCCCAGTGTGTCCCCAGATGACCTCATCCTCCCTCTGCAGCTTGAGGCAAGGTCATCCTTGAGGGCCTCGTGTGAAGGGCTAGTGAGGCCAGAGAGCAGGGTCCTGGGGGCAAGCAACACCAGGAGGAAGGAAGGAAGGACAGACGGACAGACAGCCAGGTGGTGGACCCACACACTCAGGCCCACCTGGCTGCCCATCTGCCGGAGAACACTGGGGCCTCTGCCCCGTTCTGAGCCTGGAGAGGCAGGAGGAACAACCCGCCCATTTCCTGAGTCTCGTGTGAGGGGAGGTGGGGAGAGAGAGGCCCTGAGCACCGTCCCCTTGAGACTGCCTCTTCTTGGCAGGTGATCCCCTCGGGGGGGATCGGGAATGCTGAGGCGGAGGCACAGCCCTGAAGCCCAAGGTCAGGCCAGAACAGGCCTCACTCTGCCTCTGATAGGCTCCTCACCAGACGAGAGACCCATCTGTCCCTCGGGCTGGGCAGCCTTTGTCCTCCTGTGCCTCCGGGGGAGGGCCCTCCTCCCCTTCCCAGAGCAGCCAGGCCTGCATTTGAATATCCTCTCTTGTCTCCCCAAGATGACGGTGCCATCAGAGTCTGGAAGAACTTTGCTGATTTGGAAAAGAATCCAGAAATGGTGACGGCCTGGCAGGGGCTCTCCGACATGCTGCCCACCACCCGAGGTGGGTGCTCCCCGGGGTCCTGCAGGCGCTCAGTCCACTCAGACTCCCCAAGTAACGACCCAGCCAGCCTCCTCCTTGGGAGACTCTGCTCACGGGTGGAAGTCCTGCCGAGCTCTGACCAGCCCACAGCCCCCGTCCTTGGCTGGAAGCTCATGTTGCTTGTGAGAGCGTGGCCGCGGCAGGGCCTGGGGCTGCATTCTGTGCCCCTCGTGCCCGAGTTAATCGCCTCTCGGTGATGAGCACACAGCAGGCGCCCCAGTTGTGTCTGGTCCTACGGGGGAGGCCAGTGCGCTGCCTGCCTGCCCTGGGCTGACAGAGGCATGGCTGCAGCACCCACCGGCCACTGCTGTACATGCTGCCTGTCGGTGTGCATGGCTGCCCCACGCCCAGGGTGAGAGACACCAGCACCGCCTTCCGGTCTCTGGGTCCAGGCCCATTGTCAGGAGGTCTGCACCTCTCAGCCCCGCGCTCGCTGTTCACACAGCATTAATGCGGCCGTGGGTCTGGATTTCCAGAGACACCCTCAGCCGGAGCCACCCTCCAATGTGGTCGCAAAGCCGCTGCCAGATGGAGGCCGGAGCGGCTTGCTGTCAGCCCCTCTGCTGGCCTGGGGTCTTTGCATGCCCTCGCGTGGCCGATCAGGTGCCTACATGGCTGCTTCTCTCCCCTCCATCAGAGCACTTGTCCTAGGGAGACGCCGACCCTTGGGGGCACAGCTGGCTCCACGGCAGACACTTCCTTATGTGTTAATTTTTAAAATAGCCATGTTTTTACATTTTCTTCAGGAACAAAATGGTCATGCATACCCACCTCCACAGGACCCAACACAGCCGTTTTCTTGTTGCCTAGGCCCCTCTGGGCCCGGTCCTGGGCTAACATGGATGACAGCTGCCGTCACAGGTCCCTCTGTCTCTCTCTTGCTTTTTCCAACATTGGAGCAAAAGCCTGATCCCTGCCCTGCAGCGCCCCCGCCTCCCACCCGCTCAGCCCCCAGCCCCACCTCAGGCCCGCCTCAGTGCTGCTGGCTGCGGCAGAGCAGGTGGCTGACGGCCTCCCCGTGGCTCTCAGGTGCTCACGCTCACAGGTTTGTTTCACTGCGGGACACGCTGGACGAGTTGAATCATGGTTTTCAGTCCTTAGCTTCCTGCTGCCGTCCAGCAGGATGGGACACACCCCAGGCTCCCGCCGTTTTGCAGACCCCTGTGCGGAGAAGGCAGGGGCTGGTCGAGAGCAGTGTCAGCCTCCCGGCAGGGCCAGAGGATGAGAAAGTGGGGAGCCCACTGGCAGCCCAGTGGATACACTGTTGTCTAGTTTATTCCTCTTGCAGCGGCCTACCTACCTGCCGCCCCCAAATACCTGCCACCCCTAAATGATGTGTCTGTGGTTTTTTACCCGCAATGCCACTTGCCTTTGCTCTAGTGAAGGTGAGAGCAAGGGTGGGCAGCATGCAGTTTGGGAGGGGGGCAGAGAGTCTAGCTGGGAGGAAAGGAGGCTGAGGTGACAGCAGTACAGTCTCAGGGCTCCCCTGCACTTGTCTCCCCCAGATGTCACCTATGTGTGGAGAGCTGTTCCTGGCCCAGGTGTGCACTGCAGCCCTAACTTGAGAGTGGTTCCACTGCTGTAGACATGTTTGCTACAGACTCCTTGCTGCTGGACCCTCTCCCTTTCCTGGGTTTCAGAAAGCCCCCCAGGAGAGGCATTGTTGCTGAGGGGTCAGGAAGCTGGTGGGGGTCTTACCTCCAGGTCCTTATCAGCAGGTGGGGTGAGGGGGGCTTTGGGCAGGCACGCAGCACTCCTTGGCGGCTAAGCCAGAGTTCGTTTGGTCTGTCCCCTGCCTTTTGACCAGGCAGCTGTGGGCTTAGCAAAAAGGAAGACATTACTTCCTTGTTCTTTCAGGGGGATGGAGGGTGGAAGGGGTAGTGAGCCTGGGAGGCTGACTGCTCTAGAGGATCAAGACAGGAAGGGCTTGTGTGCTTCAGGGCCCAGAAGGGGCACACTGAGAACCGGGGAGCCTCTCCGGGCCCCACATCTTTCAGTCTCCACAGCTTCCCTCTGCAGCACGGGGATCGCAGCCCCAGCAGGGCTGGAGAGACCCCCGATTGTAATTTCTATTTCAGGAGCTCAAGCTCAGTAACCGAGGGGCAGGTCTGGTGGAATTCTGACCCCTGTGCCAACTTCTCGTTGCCTTCTGCCCATCAGCACCTTGTTTCTTTTTCTTCACCCGCCTTGGCCTCTGACTTGACAGTTACAGAGCTGTGGGCTGGGACCCTGTGGGGAGAGCTAGCAGCTTCCACAGCAGTTGCTTGTCAGCGTCTGGGGGGACCCCCACAGCTTCAGAGTTCTGGCTGTGTTCCCCCGGGACCTTGTCGGGCAGAAGCAGCAGCCCCCGCTCCCTGCTCCAGATTACCGCCCCCCCAGGCACGTGAAGCTCCCTGTGCTCCACAGTGAGGTCCTCCGCCTGGTCTCGGGTCCCAGGCAGCCACGAGCTGTGGGGGGGGAAGAGGCGCCCTTGGGGGGGCTGCGGTCATCAGCTCCTCCACGCGCCTGTGACGGGGGATCCTGCACAGCTGTGCACCCCATGAGGCCTGGCCCACCATGTCCTTCAGCTACAGAGGGCGTAGGGGGTCTCATTTGTGAATGCTGCTGTGTAGGGCACGTGGGAGGGAGGACTTGGCACTCCCTGAACAGTTAGAAAAGTCTGCCTGTGAGGTTCTCCTGCGCGCTCTCCAGCTCAGAATCTGCTCGCCAAGTCGCTGTCGTGGCAGCTTGTTAGCAAAGATTTGATTCCGTGGTTTGTGACTAAAGAGACTGTTTCTTGCAGGAGCCCTACCCCTGCTTTTCAGAAGTCATGTGAAGTGTGCAGGGTCTCCGCATCGTCTTAGCATGCCCCTGGCTCCCGTGTGTACATGTGCACACAGGCATGGGCGTGCATGCATGCATGTGCAGTTAGCCTGGGGACACACTCCCCTCATGGGGTACCCCGCTGTCAGGAGAACTGAAGTCAGTCTGGGTTCACGGCCACCCCCGGAACTGAGCGAGCCGTGCTCTGAAATAGAACCGATGGTGGGACCGCCCGTCCTTGGGCCACGGCGCCCACAGACACCCAGATGGAAGCACACTTCCCACCCGCAGAGGCCTCCTCACTGGCCGCTGGGCCCCGTGAATGAAGAGCTGTCCTCGCTCTAAGGACCTAAACGGAAGTGCCTGCCTCCTCCGGGCGTGGCCAGTGGGTCAGCTCCTGCTGGTTGGGCTGCGCTAACTGAGTGCACACCCGGCCACTGACCCCCACTCACTGGAAGTGCCCACGCCGTGTCGGGTCATGTTTCCCCCAAGTCACAGCGCTTCCAATTTCCTGTCTAGAAAGAGAGTCTTTTTAGCCAAAGCCCCTTATAATTGGGTTTTCACATTCACAGGTACATTTGGCCCTTTTTTCCCACTGCAGCCGTGGCCTGGGCCACCGTCTGCCGCTCCCTCCTGTTTCCTTCTCGGCTGCTCCCGTTTGTGGTTTGTGTGATTTTGGCTGATTTGGCTCTGGCTGGCCTGCTTTCCCTTGCATCCAGCCCATAATCCCTGTTTCCTCGCAGGTCTGGCCCGAAAGGTCTCAATCTTTCTTGACCGCAGTAAGCAGGGAGGTGAGTGCCTTCTCCCTTATCTGTGAGTGCCGGGGTGGGAGCCGCTCCTCTGCTTTGCCTGAGGATGCTCACTAGCCCGCTGTGCTCTTCAGGCAGCAGAGGATCAGGGCTGTGGTTTTTCTTATTCGTTCCATCCACACAGTCTCCTCCAATACAAAAACTCATCACCAGCTGAGCACTGAGATCTCATGGGATGAATGAGGTTGACTGTGTGAGGCTCTGGGAAGAAATCTTAACGAAAGCCGTAGACAGGACTCTCCCTGGGAGCCGAGGCCTCATGGTCGCACCTCCCGGCCTCCTTGGTGGCCTCACTCACTCTTGGGCTGGCTTAAGGACAATTCAGTTCTCTGTTCCAGGCCACCTTCACAACAGCCTGGGAATGGAAAACAGTCCAGATCCAAGCCTGCTGGAGTGAGGATGGCGCAGCTCCGCAGGCTCGCAGGGAGGAGGCACATTTCACGACTCCATCAGGACAGAAAAGTCGCTCCAGATTGAGATTTGCATTCCCACCAAATTTTTCAGAAAAGAATCTTTTTCAGAATTTAATGCAAAGTCTCTTAAAGCATCTGTTTCCATCTGAAAATCCATATACAAGTTTGATAGTTACTAAAACACCTATATGCAACTGACTGTGGATACACATGGTAACACTGGGTTAGCAAACCCATATGCCTGCTCAAAATGAGCCCTTTTCTCTCCTAAGCTCACTAGTCAGGTAAATTGTAAAGAGATGGAGCCTTATGAATCCAGGCAGCAGATAGAATTCTTGACCTTTAATTTGCAGCATCTGAGTTTAGAGTATGACCAGCCTTCTGGTGAACTTTCTGTTCTGGTCTCTCTTTAGTCGCTCCCTAAACAAGGGTTCCCTGCAGGAAGGCATATGTGGCTGTGGGTCTGAAGGGGTCCCTCGTGCCATCAGAACTGGAGTGGGTAGAGAAGCAGGTCCCAGGAGGCTGAGAACACGATGTCCTTACAGATGTACAAACTCACAGTTTCGTATTTTACAAAGGACTCTTTTAGTAAAAAGTTCAAAAGGAAGGAAAAAGAGAAAAGAGAAAACCCGAGACTGACTCAATCTTCACTCCTTTGCTTCCCGCCAGCAGTGATGGCGGTGGTTGTAACAGGAAGGATTTCTCTCAGAAAGAGCCTCCTGGGTTCTTAGAGGAATGACAGGGTCACTTGCCCTGAAATCCTGAAGAGGAGCCAGGGGACACCTTTCACGGTCAGGACCTGGGGCGGCCAGAGGAGGGCAGCCCCATCCCCTGGTTGTCAGCTGCCTGGGGGCAGCAGCCACCCCGGAGGGCAGGGAACAGATCGTCCAGCACCGGTGTGTGTGTGAACTGGACGTAAACCTTGGGCCTTGGGGCAGCTGTTAGTATTCGTTGCCTGGAGCATCTGGGCAGCAAGCAGGGCGCCGACGGCAGACCACAGGGGTGGCTGGCGGGGGGAGTCACGGCTGCCCTCCCCTCCCAGCCTCACTCCTCCTCCGGGGTCACAAGCACATCCAGAGTCTAAAATCAGCAGGACCTGGTGAGCAGGAAGCCCTCTCAGTGCAGGAGGCAGGACGCGGGGCCGGGTGGCAGCCCCCGTGGGCCCACGCAGGAAGGGGCACTGGCCGTGGGGAACGACGGCTCCCTCCTCTCCCAGGAGGCGTGTGCCCCACCCTGTCTCCTCTGACCCTAAGCAGCTACCACATGTTCTCGCCCACCTCCCAGGTGAGAAGTGGAAGTTTAGGTGGGATCATTTGCTCCCGAGGAGCCCAGTTTTCTGTTGCCAGCCCTGTCCTGTGTCTCTGAACCTGCCGGCTGTCCAGGAGGTGTTCATGGGCCCTGAGGGAGGCCTGATCCCATGGGGAGGCATTGCGTCTGCATCCCTGGGGAGGGAATGGAGGTCGCCATCCCACAGGTCTGAGGTTCTCACACGTGCCTGGTTGGGCAGGGGCTGGCCCCTCCTCCTCGGAGTTCCAGAACCATAGCTCCTAAGGGCGTTTCAGGTTGGGGCTGATGGGTCCTTAGGGATCAGGTCTACATGACATGTCCTCAGAGGTCAGATCCCCATGTTGGGTTCTCAGAGGTCCGTTCCAGATGACAGGGTCCTTAGAGGTCAGTCTGGACTGGCCTCTGAGCCTGGAGGGCTGATCATGGACATCACAGGGACCCAAGCCTCTGAAACGACGTCTTTCTTCTTTTCACTGTCTGCTGGGCCTAGGGTTCTGTCTGGTCCCTGACTTACACGTTCCCGCTTCCTAGTCTACAGCCATCCCTGTGCCATACGTCTATATTTTAATGAAGAAATTCCCTCTTTTTTACGGCCAGCTTTTGGATGGGAACATGTGAGCAGGCCTCATATCCAGGATGAAGTCAGACGGGAATCTCTGCATCCTGGTGGGGGCCGCCCACCACCCCCGGCCCCAGGCAGTGAGATGGATGGACCGTGATCTCAGGCACTCAGGGTGCTGGAGTTCGCCCAGTGGGGGAGAGGCTGCAGCACGCGCGGAGCCTCCATCAGTCGAGCACTCTCCGTGTCGAGGCGGCAGCGTCGACAGGGAGGAGGGGCCCTCCTGGGGGGAGCCCAGAGCAGCCCGCCTGCTCCCAAAGAAAAAAAAGGCCAAGGAGCCCCGGGGGAGGGAGGAGGGGCACAGGCTCTGCCCACAGCTGTCACTTTTCTGGGGATGGGGAAGGAGGAGACACTGCTGAGACCGTGCTCCCCAGGAACGAAGTGATTGGAATCTTCACTCTGGTTCAAAGTCACAATGTTCCTGTCTTATGAGTTTTACTTAAATCATAGCCATCAATTTTGTTCCTTGTGCTCAACACGTCAAGGAAGAGTGTCACCCTTTTTATCATCTTTTACCAACTCGTGATGAATCAGATCATCTCTCCTCCGCTGTGTCTGGAGGTCGAGACACAGGCTTGGTTGGGAAAGGTCTCGAGTGAGAAGGCCAGTGTTTGCATTCTGTTCTGGGCAGGAGGACGGGCCAGGACCCCAGATCTACAGGAGGTGGCGGTCAGCAGGCGCATGAGGTCGGTCAGGGTGCAAGCAGACTGTTGTTTTTATCCCAGCAGTTTTCACGTTGATCTGAGACTCTTCCACGGATAGGAGCTCACTGTCTTAGGTGACACAGCTTCCACAAACAGTCTGGTAGAGCTAAGGAAGCAGCCTCGCCCAGATTTGTCTGTATACATAGGACGCCTGCCTTCCCGGCGTGTACAGGACTTGGGAAGACCTTAGGAAACACGTTTCTTGTCTCTGCTGGCTTCACCATGCTTTACAACTGGTTTAAACCAGCATTTGGTCCGCATCAGAGAATCTAGATTTAAAACAGGACTCAGAGCTCACGTGATCCACATCCCCAGGTCCTCTGACGGCCACATGGGCACACCTTCCAGAGCCTCCAGTGCAGATGGAGACGCTGGGGCCCTGTGTGGGAGCTGTGTCTCCCCAAATACACGTGGTAGAGTCCTCGGCCCCAGCACTCAGAGGGTGACTGTATTTGAGAGAAGGATTCAGTTGAAATGAGGTCACTTGGGTGGGCACTAATGCAGGGCGGGCCCCCACTGGCTCTGAATCCATCATGAAGGAGACTCAGCAAGAAGGAAGCCACCACCACTTCATTTGGAGACCAGGTCAGGCTTCTTACCCCATTGGGAGTGGCCGCGGCCTCCTCTCTGCTTCCTGCATGGGCATGGAGCTGAGACCCCCCTCCCAGTCCTTCTGTGGTCCCCCCAGACCCTCCCCAGCTTGTTCCCGTGACCCCAGGGCATCCCAGATGTCACCTGGCCACGTGCTCTCATAATTACACGGCTCCTGAAAGCCCCACAGGGCTGACACAGAGCTCCAAGCGCAGTTAAGGATGCCCGAGAACACAGGGCACCCCATCAGTGGTCCATGGATACAGGAGTCTGTGAGCCTCTGCAGTGACCTAGCACCCCAAGTCAGGTCGTGGGTGGGCGCGTCCTCTGTGATTCATTCACATCATGCACACCGGGCACATGGTGAGGGGAAGCAGGTGGCGTGGTTTCAGGCTCTGCTTGTGGGCTGACTGGTCACAGTGTGACTGGGCTGTCCCGGACAGAAGTGGGGGCCACGTGCCCTGCCCTCTCCCCTGCCAGTTCTGATCATGGTGACAGGTGAGAGGCCTTGCCTGCAGCCTTGTCACCAGTAGATGCCTTTCTGGCACATTAGGGTGTATTCTCCTGCCTGGGGTCAGGGGCGTGGCAGTGGGGAGACTGCATTCTAAAAGGTGAAACAAAGGCTCGTCCATTTGTTGTGTGGAGCCGACATTCTGCAGGGTAGACATGGCAGCCGCCAGCAAAACAGGGAGGACGGGAGGGGGTGTGCCAGGTGACACATCTGGAACAGGTATAAGACAGAACAGGGTGAGTCGTAGCCTCACATGGTCGAGGAGGTGAATGAGCACGATTTGGAGGGGCTGCATGGACGTCAGGAGAGGGGCGTTCCAGGCACAGGGCCCACTGTCAGTTAAGAGGACCAGCCTGGTCACTTTTGGAGCTCGAACCTTGCAGGGGCCAGGGCAGAATGGGAAGCCATTGGGGGTCTCTGGAGTGAGGGTTGAGGGGCTCAGATCCAAGCAGGAACCTGAAGTGACACATACAGATGAGAGTCTGGAGTTCGGGAGAGAGATCGGGCACTTGGAGGGAACTCCATAGCCTGAAAGGGGCATATCAGAAAAGAACAAGTGAAGGTCACATTGTCCAACTCAGGAAGTCAGGAGAAAAGTGGGCACCCACAGAGAGAAGGGGAAACCACAGAGGCAAACACAGGAGCTGCTGCCACAAAAAGTAGAGACAAATGTATAGAAAAGCATGATGACTTCACTTCAGACTTCAGTATGACCAAAAGAAGACATAAACAAAGTTATAATGTCAGTGACAGAATAGGAGAGGATATTTGCAATATATGAGTTAAACCATCGGTGTCAGAATGTATATTAAAACATACAGGCTGCACACACCAACATCGACCAGGATTTGGGGAAATCACACCTTGTGTCCATTTCTGATGAGACTGCAGACCAGCATCCACTCTGGGAGTGAAACGGCCTCGCCTGGGGAGGTGGAACGCACAGGGATATGTCCCCTTCCCGGTGCTGCCACTTCCTTGTGCAAGGGCGTGTGGAAACGTCAGTGTGGCGTGGTTTACAGGCAGGGAATCGTGGAAGTGACGGGCTCGTTCTCCAAAGGCGTGTTACCCAGAAGTTCAGTACTAATTAACCAGATCTGCATCCGTTGGGTTGGATAAACCCTCAAAACGTAACCTTACTGGAAAAACGCACATTGCTGGAAAATATACCCCCGTTTGAAATTGGCGACATTTTTGAAATGTGGGAGATGTGGTTCATGGTTTTGGACACGTGCCCTTGCAGGGGAGTGCACGGGGGCCAGCCTGGGAGGGCGCCCAAGGCCTGTGGGTGATTTGTCTGGGGACAGGACAGGCAAGTGAGGCTTTCACTGTCTTAAATTTCACTTCAAGAACGAAAAAAAGAGCAAAAATGATAAGATATTAGCAGCTCTTAGATCTGGGTGGTGGTACAGGGGTTTCTGTTGTGTTTTTTCTGTGTGTTTGAAATATTATAATTAAACATCTTAAATCTTATAGTCCCTCCTGTGAGGTCAGTGCTGCCCTTAGGGATGCTGAAAGCATTCGCCCCCCGCCCAGTCCAGTGTGGAGAAGGGCAGTCCTCGATTCATTCACCACTGACCGTCTGTGGTCAGCCCCCTGCCTCCGTGAGGGGCAGCTGCAAAGCTGTTCACCCCCAGGAGACTGCGGGACCCAGGAGACTCACATCTCTGTGCCTCTGACACCCATTCTAAAGTCTCCAGACCTGCCCATCATGCCCAGGTGTCCTGGAAGGTGGGCATCTTGGACAAACGGTCCTAAGATCCTGCTGTCTCTCTGGTAGATGCCTGGGTACAGCAGAGATATAGAGAAGGCTCTGAATTGTCACCCCGACTTCAAGCTTGCATGAGGTTGGGGACCCACCTTATGGGTTGGCACCGACTGCTTGAGCTGTTGCCCAGAACAGGCTCCCTCGGTGACACCGGTGCCCGTCTGTGTCTCTCCAGGAGCTGGGATGGTGGTGGACTGGGAACAGGAGACCGGGCTCCTCATGAGCTCGGGAGATGTGCGTATCGTCCGGATCTGGGACACGGATCGTGAGATGAAGGTGCAGGTAAGCACACCGTCCCTCACGGGGCCTCCCTGGGGGCGAGGCGGGCCAGTGGGCGCAGACCCTGCCGTCCTCCCCAGCTCCGATTGCCCTCGAGGTCGAAGGATGAGAATGAGGGTCCTCGAGCGCCCCCACCCCACCTCGCCGCAAGTACTCTGAGCAGGTGGTGTCTGCGGGGGGGGGGGGGGGGGCAGGGGAAGCGGGGCCAAGTCAGGCTGCCTCCCACCTTTTAAAGGGATACGATGATTCGGTTTCCATCCGTGTTGGATTTCTTCCTTGTGTGTGCCTGAGAGCAGCAAAACCTTTTCTGATTGGAAAAGCACTTTTCCCCGTCTGGGGGCCCATTTCCTGTCTCCTGCTCTTTCCTGCCGCGCATTCATCACGCCTCCTTCCCTTCTCCAGCGTTTACAGCTGCCAGGAGGAGAGGCGAGGAGATGGTTTATGGGCGGCAGGACTCCCCCTAGACCCTTCCCTGAACTAATTAGGAGTTTTAAGAGGGAGCCGACGATGATTCCTCCTGCCGATATATGCTTCGTCTTCCTTCTTAGGAGAGAGGGAGACTGGAAAGTTTAATGGGCGCAGAGGTGTTTGCTGCCCTGCTCTCCTGGCTGCGGGCCTCGGGTGCCCGGGCTGTCACTCAAGCAGATGGAGCCTGACTCCCTCTGGGGCCCAGCTCCTCAGGCCTTGACAGCTTCCCCGGTGGAGAGAAAGGAAGCAACTCCACGCCAGGGTGACGAACGCACCCACGGCGGCTGTAAAAGGGATCCAGCAGCTAGTGGGGGTGGGGTGGGGGGCCTGATGCCAGGGTGCCTCACGGGGTCTGTGTCGGCCCTAGGACATCCCCACAGGTGCCGACAGCTGCGTGACGAGCCTGTCCTGCGACTCCCACCGCTCCCTCATCGTGGCTGGGCTCGGCGACGGCTCCATCCGCGTCTACGACAGGAGGATGGCGCTCAGCGAATGGTAATTGGGCCACGCCTTCCCCTCCCTCTGCCAGACAGAGCCAGCCCCCAGAGCCAGCTGGGCACCCCCGCAGAGCCACATCCCCCAGCGTGTGGAGGAGCACGGCTTCCCACCAGCTGTGGATGGGCTGTTTGGAACACAGGTTTGGGGGTCGGGGGGTCCCAGCAAGGCGCTGCCCTCCTGGGCTCCATTCCCACCTGAACATAGAGAAGGCTACTGCCTCCCGGGTTGAACTCAAGAATAGCCAAGAAGATGGCGTCAGGGACACGCGTGGGTGCTGTACAGCGCTGGGCCACATGCATTGTCACGGCTTTTCTGGGCACTGCCCCTCAGCCCTGGGCTGAGGCCCAGGTGGGGCCCAGCACCGTGCCCTGTGTGGGCCAGTGAGCATGGAGGTCCAGACGCCAGTCACACACGGATGGTAAATGGCAGAGCAACGCTGGAACCCAGGCCCAGCCGTCGCGGGCTCCCGGGTGATGTTTACTGAACACCCACCTTGTCCCTGAAAACAGGCCTGGCCTTTGAGTGGGAAGCAGCAGGTGGGCCCATGTGCAGCCACAGGAGCTAAAGGAGCCCTCGTGGGAGGGGACGAGGGGACAGGACTGAGCTGGGCCTGAGAGCAGGCGAGCACCATCAGTGACCCCAGCCGGAAGAGAGGGCAGCTGTGAGGTTGCAGGGCCGGGAGCAGTCAGGGGAGTCGGTGCAGGACCCAGGCAGGCAGCAGAGGCGTCAGCCAGACTGTGGCGGGAATTTGGGCCTGAGGCTTGGATGGCGAGTGGGCCCAGGCAGCCCCTGGCTTGCATGTTCCCTGTGGGTCTCTATGGGAGGGTGCCCACTGAAAACCCACACTACCCACCAAAAGCAGCCATCGTGGAGGTGGGGGAGCAGGGTTTCTTTTTGGGGTGATGAAAATGTTCTAAAATTAGATGTGTGATGGGCGCATAGCTGTAAGAATGTGCGAAAGTCACTGAATATGTGCTTTTAAAGGGAGAGTCTTACAGTATGTGAATCAAATCTCAGTCAAACTGTTATTTTAAGAAGCCTCTCTAGGCAGGCAGTTAACTGGCAAACCAACCCAAGAAGATCTGAGGGTCACAGAACGGCCGTGAGGGAGGGGCTGGGGTCTCCAGAGCCCCCTCTTTGGCCCAAGGTCTGAGGACAGAGACGTGGGGTCTTCTGTGCATCCCCAGGCACCGAGACTTATGTGTGCTGGGTGTGACCTGTGTCCTGGATGCCTTCCCAGATGTCACACTCTGCCCCCACCTCCCCAGCACGTGCATCCCCCGTCCCGTACTCCCTGTCAGGGACCCTCACCAGGCCTCCGGGAAAGCCCCTGTGCCCCTCCATTTCGGCAGCCTTAGAGTCTGGGCTTCTTGGTCTTGACCCTCAAACCCACAGGGAGATGCCAGTGTGAAGTCCTGGTAGGGGGGCTGGCGGTGCCCAGGCCCCGGGAGGGCATGACAGCCACCCTGCCTCCGGAGGTCCCAGCGTGGCCCAAGGTGTTTGGGAGGCACCCAGGGAGGGGCGTACCTGGGGGGTTCAGTCACTCACAGTGAACACAAGAGGGTGAGGGCAGACCTCGCAGCACCGGCGGACCCCGGATGCTTTAAATAAATGCTCTGTTCCCTCTACTCAAAACAAAGTCCACCCTGCCTCCCATCCTGATGCCTCGGAGCATCAGGGACACCCACAGTTGTCACTGGGCCCTGACCCCACCTTTCTCCCCTCCAGCCGCGTCATGACATACCGGGAGCACACGGCCTGGGTGGTGAAGGCCTACCTCCAGAAGCACCCTGAGGGCCACATCATGAGCGTCAGGTAATGAGCATGGAATATTCATGAGACATTTTGCTGTAAAAACATTACTTTCCCTCCATCTAAAATATGTCCTTGGTATTTAAACAGTTGGGAAATGATGGCATTTCAGGGTAGTAATTAACTTCTGCTCTGGGACTGGCCAGAAAGGTCAGAGCCGGCACAAGGGTGGGGACAGCAGGTCCTCCCACTGGAGAACTTTGCCTGTGGGTGACTTGCAGCGGCAGGGGACGGGGTGGCAAGGTGGCTGGGCAAAGCCTCCCCGCAGCAGCGGCATCTGCCTGGCGTGTGCCAGTATCACTGTGCGGATCCGTTGTCTGCCCATAAGTCCATTCCTGCTGCCGGTAAGTCCTGTGCTGAGAGCAGCGCATGTTTATTTGCCCGTTAAAGGGACAGAAAATGTAATTTACTGTCACAAAGCCACCATTTCTTCAAAGAGATGCTCTTCCCTTGTTTGTAACGTGAAAACAGAACATAGCTCTCAAAACGATGTCCGCCAGGCCCAGGGCAGGGAAGAGGTGGCCTACTGTCCTCACCTACCGCCCGTCGCCGCATCCCCAGCTGCACAAAATCTAATCTCCGGCCGGAAATGAATAACTCACAGCCTCCCCTGTGTCTTTGCTCACCGCTGCTTCGTGCCTCGGCAGCTGGGCCCTTTCTGGCTCTGGGGAGGGGTCCAAGGGGCTCGGCAGCAGGCCTGGCTGCCAGGGTCGGTGGGGTGGGCCCATGTGCCATCCAGGGGCCTCCCTGGACACTCTGAGGGTCCAGGGGGCCATGGCCTTGAGCTGCACGTGTGGACGGCCCCTGACCACACATGGCCCGTCCTGGGGCCGGTAGGCCCGCCCAGCGTCACCACAACACCCTCTCGGCAGCGTCAACGGGGACGTGCGCTTCTTCGACCCTCGGATGCCGGAGTCCGTGAACGTCCTGCAGATCATTAAGGGGCTGACGGCCCTTGACATCCACCCCCAGGCAAACCTGATCGCGTGGTAGGTGCCGGCCCTCTTCTCTCTCCCCGCCCTGCCTGACCAACTCCCGGGGCCCTGTGTAAACCGCAGGCACTACTGCCCGCCCCCACACCTGTGGAGGAGAGCTGGGTGGAGGGACTGAGTGTGTGGCCCCTTTGCTGCTCCTCACCTGCCTGGCCTCCCGGCCCTTGAGGCCCAAGTCCTCTCGTGGGGGTGACCAGAGAGGAGCCCCATCTCCTTGTGAGCACGCCCGCCTCCCCACGCTGACTGCCAGGCCTTCTCGTGTGCAGTGGCTCCATGAACCAGTTCACCGCCATCTACAATGGCAGCGGAGATCTGATCAACCACATCAAGTACTACGACGGCTTCATGGGCCAGCGAGTCGGCGCCATCAGCTGCCTGGCTTTCCACCCACACTGGGTCTGTGTCCCCGCGGGAGGCGAGGAGGGCGGGCGGGAGGCTAGCAGCAGCAGCAGGAGGGGTGCTGCAGCCAGGCCCCTCCCCGCACCACAGTGTGGCCCAGGGTCTCCAGGGGCCGTAGCCCCCAGACTGCACTCACTGTAGAAGCAGCA